CATGTCTGGGACTGGGATTAAATCTGTCATGGGAACACCATACTGGATGAGCCCAGAGGTTATCAGTGGAGAGGGCTACGGAAGGAAAGCTGATGTATGGTAAGGAATACATTACATGGTAAGGAATACAATAGAAACCCCACCACTGCCATTTAAATCTAACAATCCATTTGGGAAGTTGTAATGGGAGCAACAAGCATAGCTAGTGATTGGAAGATGGAGCAGTGTGAAGGATGGAAATAGGAGCTGAATGTTAGGATCAACTATGCAGATATCCAGAGGGTGCATGTTGTAGCTGAAGGTTGTGAAACAGGAGCACTTAGAATCACAGCTTGTTTTTGGAAGTTCTTATTATATGTGAGGGTCATGTGCAGCTTGACGCCGTAACAGCTCTTTAATTCTGGAAAGCAGGTTGATAACAAAGTTTGCTGAAAGAGCTCTTGAGTTTTGGTGGCCCTGATTTTAGGTTAGTTAAAACCTAGGCTCAAGGCATCTTGTGCAGCCTCTCAAAATCTGCTGCTGGGTGTTTTCATGTGTCTCAGGCACAAAGAAAACCAAATTCACTGGCTGCTTGTGAATGTTGGGATTTGTGGAGGATGTCAGCTGAAGCCTGAAAGAGTTGTGATAACACTGCTAATTCTCCCAGTAAATGAGGAGGAAGCCCTCTCTTTGCAATGCACTTTCTGTTGCATGCCCAAGCGAGTAGGGTCAACAAACACTAGTCAGGCAGCCATGTACCTTGTACCACCTCTCTAGCTGATAGAAGGGAAATGTGGTTCAGTTTCTTAGGAGCAGCCATGAATGGAGGCGGCAGAGTGTCCCTGCTGTGACGATGACTCCTTAGCAAGCACAGGGAAACCTTTTGGGCACTTGGTGCTCATTTGTGCTCCTTTTCAGGTGTAGGCAAACATTTAATTCTGGCTATTCATACATTCATTTGTACATGCTATCGCTGAAACAGTGGTGTCTCGACTTGTGCCTGGGTTTCTCTTCAGGGGATGCTCCGATAATGTCTCTCACATGCTCTTATCAAACAATATCTGCCAGTTAACACAGGCAGAAAAGCCACCAGCTTTAGAGCAAGACTTGCAGGTTCACTCCTGCAGGTGGGAGGGGGAGCCCAGTTCCAAGGACTTGCATGAACAGTGAGTTTCAGGGGCCATGTGTTGCAGAGATGTGCGCCCATCACTCATGTGGCTTTGCTCCCCGCAGCCCGTGCAGTCTTAGAGCTGATTAGACTTGAGATACACAGCCACCACCCCAGTGTGCTACTTTCCATCTCACCCCTGTGTCTTGGCGTTGTTGCAGGAGCGTGGCCTGCACCGTGGTGGAGATGTTAACAGAGAAGCCGCCATGGGCAGAGTTCGAGGCCATGGCAGCTATTTTTAAGATTGCCACCCAGCCGACCAAACCCCAGCTCCCCGACAGTGTCTCCAACTCCTGCCGCAACTTCCTCGAGCAGATCTTCGTGGAGGAGAAGCGGAGGCCGACAGCGGAGGACCTGCTGAGACACCCCTTCATCAACGGCGGGCTCTGAGCCCCTGGCAGTGGGGATGGGGAAACGCTGGTGGGAACGGGGTGGCCGCCAGACTCTCTGTGCTCTACGGTTCAGACCTCCACCCTGGGCTGTCCTGGCGGTGGCCCACATAGGTCCCTTCTTGCGCATTGCTGGCTCAGCACCCGCTGTGTTGTTGGATTTCCAAGCAGCTCTCAGGATTATTGGCACCAGGAATTCAGAGTGAGGGATTTCGTAGACTGTGCGAGTGCTGGCCTCAGACCAAGTAACTTTCTTGCTGCCAACGATAAAGGGGTCATCCCACCTCACCATGTTACTTATCTCTTGGGGAAAGTGGAGCAAATGGGATCCGTCCTCCACCACAGCACAACAGCGATGCTGGCAGCATCCCCGGGACAGCAGATGAATAAGATGCTCAGTGGCGATCACCACCTTTTGCAGGAGAACAGACAGGGGCTTAAGCCAAGCCAAAGGAGATGATCCTCAGACCACAGAGTCGGGGGGGACCTGCGTGTCCCTGTTCACAAGGGGACCGAACCCTCCTGGAGGTCGTGGGACCAGCCCACATCTCCAGGCAGGGCGGCATTTAATACTGTTCTGTGCCTTAAGCGGTTACAATCAAGGAGTGATGCTCGACTCCGCGCAAAGCACAGGGTCGGGTGCGATGATGCAGCAGCCGTGTTGACTTTGCCTTTGTGTATGTGTATGCGTGCGTGTGTGTGTGACTCTTGGAAGAAGGGGTCCTCTCGGGGTGCAGGAGGTCTCTGCGGGGTACACCCATGGACGGATGCCCAGGACCTCTGCCACAGGCTGTGTGTAGGGATGTTTAAATGCTGTCAATACCTGCAGCTGAGCATCAGACAGTTCTTGTTTAGGAACCATCAGGCTTCAGGTGGGAGCTGGAGGATGTCTTGGTGAGGATGCTGTCTATTCACAGCCCTGGCCCTGCTAGCCTGTACCTATGCTGCTACACTGAGTTTGGAGGGCTGCCAATACATTATGGAAGCAGAGCTGCAGGAGGAGCCCAGTGGGTCTCCATATAACCTAAGCAGAGAGAAACAGAGCCTGTTGATCTGGACTGCCAAGGGCTGGGTGCCTTGTAGGACCAGCCCTGGGAGCAGGGAAGGGGGATATCATCTCCATGATGGTGCCCAAGGCAGCAGCTGCAGGGCCATGAAGCTGCAAACCAGAAGAGAGTTATGCGAGTTGAGGGCAGCTGGAAACAGATTTCTTCCTGCAGTATATTTGAAGTTTTAGGAGAAAATAGGCCAGTTGTGAGCTACGAGCAGTACCCTGCTGGAAAACTGGGCAGGGAGCATGCACAGAGTCCTTGGAAGCTAATGAATTCATCAGATCTTGGTTATTTCGGACAAATTAAATGCACCTTCCCTTTTCCTGCTGCAATAGCCGTGTCCACCTGGCCCAGCAAAGGGTTAAACATGCAGTTACCAGGAGGTTGCTGTCTTCATGCCAGTGGGTGAAAACGTGTTGCTTGGACTGAAGAGGAAGTTGGGAGATGGGTGTGATTTGACATGTCCTTGGATTCTTCCACGTGGAAGAAGAGATCGAGACTTTGCACGGCGGGTGTGCCAGTGGGAGCCTTTCCTTGTCCACAGCTCAGAAAAGAAGCGAAAATTAGAGCTATTCCAGTTTAAAAATAAAACACTGGTATGGTCAGGGAAGATGAGGGGAAATAGTGCAAAGGATTCCCTAGAAGCTTCCCTGCAGAGCTGCAGAGGCCAGTTCATGCCCAGGCTGGGCTCTGGTGAAGCCAGTCTGACACAGCGGTGATGGGCAGCTGTCTTTGGGAAAGGGGGGGGTTTAAAGTTGCCTCCTTCCTCTGGGTGGGAGTGAAGAATTTTATTCTGTGAATAGGACCAAATCCATCATCAGTCTGTTTGGTAACATGGGATGGATGGACAAAAGGAAAACAATCAGTGTTGGCTGGGGAGGGGTTTGTCAGAAGAGGGTAATGAGATGTATTTTCACCAAAGCTAAAAAAAAACCAACCAAACAAACCAAAACGTTTTTAAGCTGCTTTCTCCTCTTTCATTGAATCTCTGGGTTTGATTTTCTCAGCCTTTGGTGGCAGGTGGGTGCTTTCCTTCTTTCCAAAACTTGGAGAGCAAAAGTAAGCTCTCAGCTGCCCTGGGCTGGGGCTGCCCCAAAACCCCCTCAAAGCACCGGAATCCTCCCATGGATGAATGTGGCTCGTGTGTGTGTGCACATATGTGTGCGTGTGTGTGTGTGCGACTCACTCCTCAGGTGCCTGTGCCTTTTTATTTGTTAAAACCCATGCAGTGTTCTGATGTACAGAATGAAACAGGAAAAGAGAATGTAATATTCTGCCATGTAAAGTTGGGTTTTTTTGGTGGTTTTGTTTTTCCTTGATTTTGTTCTGGTTTGCCTGTAGCTCAGTGGATTTCCCTGTGCCCTGCACTCTCATGGTCCTGCTGGGAAATGATTTTCCCTGGGGGGGATGGAGGCTGGAGTGGCCCTTGGGTGTCCCCTGGCACCGGAATGGGCTCAGACCACCAGTGAGGCAGGGGACGGGACTTGAGGGGTCGAGGCAGGGATGGGGCTGGTGGTTCCAGGGGCTTACCCAAAACCATCCTTCAGTGCAGGGCTCTGCGTGCCCTTTGGTCCTGGCGCCCCGCTGTGTGCGGATGCCCCAAGCACACACAGTTACATGGTTTAGATTATTTGTTTTTAATTTTAAAATGTCCTTTTATTTATTTTCGCTGGTGCTTTGTTCCCGGTGGGGTTTTCTTTCGTTATTTCTTCTTTTTCCTTTTTTCTCTTTCTGCTGTTTTTTTCCCCATTTTTTCCTTTTTTCTTTTTTCCCTTTATTTTTTCCAGTTTTTCCTGTTTTCCGTTTTCCCCCCCGTTTTTTCTTTTCCCGTTTTTCCTCCATTTTTGTTTTTCTCGGGTTTTCCCCATTTCCCCCCTTTTCCTGTTTTTTTCTTCTTTTTGTCCCGTTTCTCCCCATTTTCGGTTTTGGGGGTTTTGTTGTTTGTTTTGTTGTTGTTGTTTTGCATAGTTTCTTTTTTTCTCTTTTTTCCCCTGTTTTCCCATTTTTTCCCACTTTTCCCATTTTTTTCCTTTTTTCTCTCTATTTATTTTTCCCGGGTTTTCCCAATTCTTCCGTTTTCCACGGTTTTTCCCTTTTTCCTGTATTTTTCGGTTTTATTTTTTCCGATTTTTTTCTCCTTCCCAGGCTTTCCTCCCTCTTTTTTTTTTTCTCTGCTCTCCCTTTTCTTCCTTCCCCCCCTGTTTGTTTCCTTTCCCTACTTACCTATTTTAACTGTACTCACCCATTTCACTCGTGCTCATTTGACCGCTCTGCTGCAGCCTCGCTGCCCCTGCCCCTGCCCGTTCCCGTTCCCCAGCTGTCAGTTCCCATTGCTCCTCCCCACTGTGGGCGGGGCCATGCAAACGAGCCCGTGGGTCCTGCCGCGGCCTGCCCCTACCCGGCTCCTGAGGCGGCGGTGTCAAGATGGCGGCGGCTCGCCGGGTGCAGCTGGTGCTGGGGCATCTCGCCGGTTCCCCCCCGGGGCCGGGCACCAGGGTTAGCGCCGCGCCATGCGGGAGTCACGCCGGGGTCTCGCCGCGGGCCGCCAGCCCCGACGATGTGGTGGTGGTGCACGGGCGGAGGACCGCCATCGCCCGCGCCAAGCGCGGCGGCTTCAAGGTATGGCCCGGCTGAGCTGCCCTGCTCCCGGGGCGCTACGGGGACTGCCCCCCCCGCCCGCCTTCCCCATCGGGGACTGGGTGCTCCCGCTGCCCCCGGTTGCAGAGCCCCGCAGTGTGCCGGGTCGGGGTCCCCTCAGGCACCGAGCCCCCACTCACTGCTCCGCTGCAGATCGAGATGTGGGACCCCCAGCCACGGCCCAGCAGCGGGCTCTGCTTTGTAATGGTATAAAAGGCACTTTCTGGTGGTTTTAGTGCCGTGGCGGGTGCGCGGCCCAGGTGCAGCAGGACCACTGGCACCCCACAAAGCCAGCCAATGTACCGACGAGTTTCCCGGCTCCTCTTAAAGCCCGGAGTAGGTCTCTCCATGCTGCTCTTACCGGAGTGGTCGAACAGAGCAACCGCTTGGAAAGGCAGCATCGCCCTCCCCTGCGCAGCCAGGTACCAACAGCACCTTACATGGATGTGCTGCCCTTCTGGAACGGCCCATTGCCCCCCTGGGTGGCAGTGGCAGTGGCAGTGTCCAGGGGTGCAGACTGAGGGTGCAAGGATGGCCGCAGAGGATGTGTGTAGCTTGTCATCCTTCAAGATGGGTCTCGCCATGCTGGGGGGCCCTCTCACCAGCTGAGGGGTCACCCTTGTTTCTTTCACAAGATAAACCGAAGGGCTCTACTTGCTAAGTCTTGTCACATAACTCAAGATAGTCGTTTGGTTTTGAAGGCTCTACAAAGTGTGTTCGTATGAAGCTGAGGTAGGTAAGAAACCAGCAGGTGTTACAGTGTGTGAAGGTAAAAAACACAGAGAAAACGTTTCCTTTTGTAGGCAATGACAGCCGTAATGAGCTGAAAAGTGGAGTAAAGGTGCCTAAGCCCCGAGTCCTGTGAAGTAGCCTGAGGGTGAACTGGTGACAGAGCAGTTACTGGTGTTTGCTGAGTAGCTCTAATCCCCTATGCTTTTAGGATACTACACCTGATGAACTACTGTCTGCTGTTATGACAGCCGTCCTTCAAGATGTCCATCTTCGTCCTGAGGCCCTGGGAGACATCTGTGTGGGTGAGTGAACAACCTCTGCTGGACTTTGAAACTCCTTGTCTGGACAGCTCTCCTTGACAGGCTGCTCCTAGGGTACTTGGAAGTATTGTGGGGTTGGAAGGGGTTAGTTTGCACTATTAGGTTTCTGAAATCAGTGTGTCCCTCATCACTGTTCTGGCACGTGGTGGGGCTCTGAGCTGGGTGCCAGGTGGTACCGAGCCATGGTGATGTTGTACCCCTTCGGTGCCTGCAGCAAATAGCGAGGGGAGTACAACCCATTGACTGGAACCGTATCTTTGCACTCAGGAAACGTGCTGCAGCCTGGAGCCGGCGCTTTGATTGCGAGAGTTGCGCAGTTCCTAAGGTAAACTCTCAGCCGGACCGAGGTTCTTCCTCTCTCAGGCCTTGGCTACGGGGCAGCATTGGGTCAGAGGTTGCGATGAGGCTCATGCTCTCCTAGATTGTTACAGCACATCACCTTTTGCCTACAAATTAGACTTTGATCAGGTGTTTGGAGGGGCAGGGACAGGGGGGCAGAGGTGAGGCTGTTTAATCTGTTTGTGCCTGCTCTGTTGGGCCTCTGAATGGGAGATCTTGTTCTGTGGGCTCCCAGCTGTACCTGCTGCTTCTCCACGCTTCCAGGCTGCACTTCACTCTGTGGTCCACAAAACCATTGAGTTGTCTCAGGTCTTTCTGTTCTTTCCCAGTATTGGTGGTCAGTGGTTTGTATTGAGCTGGATCTCAGCTTCTAAATAACCAGTGTCTGTTGCCAAGTGATGAGGTTCAGGCACAGCCCACCTGTAACTGTGAATATTACAGAGCTTTTCAGTATTTCTGGCCCAAATCAAAGCGTGGGAATGAGGCACACAAGAGGCCCTGCTTCGAGTGGACCTTCTGAAAACACCTGTGGGGAAACATCCTGCAGAGGCACTTGCAAATCAAGTGTGGAAATTCTCTCTGAACTTTGCTTTCTCTTGGTGCAGGACCAAATAGGTCAACAAATGCATGAAGGGATCTGTCTTGAGGGTTAAAGTTTAATCGCATGGTTTAATGCTGTCTTTAGAACTTTGTTTTGTTGCGTCACCGAGTCTTAGTCAGCGCTGTCTTGTTTTCCAGTGGTATTCCAGAGACGGTGCCGTGCTCGAGCGTGAACCGGCAGTGCTCCTCTGGCCTACAGGCTGTTATCAATATAGCAGGTAAGGGATCAGAGGCGATGCCTGCCCCACTCCAAGTGCTCCTTTCTCCTGTTCTCCAACTGTCTGGGCAGTAGAAATAGCAATGATGTCTGCTGTTAGGAATCCTTGGTGTTACTAGTTGAATACTTTTATATCCTTGAGTGGCCGAGTTTATTCCTATGGAACTAACTTGGTTTTCTGAGAATGAGTTCTACCATCACTTCCCTATCAGGCAGCTTCAGCCCTCTATTGCTCTCTGCATGTCAGGTCATGGTTGGTCTTCAGCCCCATCAGCTCCTTGACCTGTCTTATGTTGTGGCAGGTGGAAGAGAAGAGGGAAATGCCCTATTTGCCTGTGGTAGGTGCCTCAGGGGTTCATGAAACCGCAGCTAGAATGGAAATGTTTTTGCTCCTAACAATAATAAGAACGTTTCTGCACTGCTGTTACAGGTGGCATCCGAAATGGATCGTATGACATTGGCTTGGCCTGTGGGTAAGAAAGTCTATGGTATTCTGTCTGTCTGAAAGGGCTCTTGTGTGAGGAATTAGAAACCCTTTCCCACCAGATCTGTTCCCCCAAAGGAAATAGATGCTGTCCTCATTTGACAAATAGTGAATAAACTCTAAAAGTAGGACCTGAGTTTATGTGGTGGCTGCAGATGCAATTTGTATATTTCCAGAGGCTGCTGAGTACTTTTACAGAAGATCAGGTCATGTTAAAGGAGGGAAGGTGACTGAATATCCTTTAATTCTCCTGGAAGTTTTGGTCTTGGTGACGTATCAGCTGGAGTTGCAATAAGAGGCTGAGTATCTCTTATAAGCATGCTGCAACCTGTTCTGTTAGGGTCCTCTGTCCCTGCTGTGGGATACCACTTGTGTGCAGGGCCTGAAAGAACCCTCCACAATTAGCTTTCTAACTGATCTCAAATTAGCTAGTGTCTTAGAAGACCAGCAGCTATCTTGGATAAGGAAATAAATGGTCTACCCATGCTAATAACTGTTCTACAGGCCTACAGGAGTGTTGTTCTGCAGTAGACAGGCATACTATTCTTTGCTTTGGTCCCAACATCATAAGAAGTGTTTATTTCTTGGAGGGTTATATAAATGCTGGGTTGGCTTTGGAGAAATGCTAGTGACCACATGCATGCTCACTTCAGAAGAATGAATAAAAAGTAAGACAAAATCTCTTAAGCTACAGATTGCTTTTGTGAGTTGGGCTTATCCCAGGTCACGCTCTTCCTGAGTGGACTCGCCCACTCTGTAGGTGGAAGGATACTGGATGACAGCATAAACGCAGAAGCTGTGGTTTGCTCTGACTTCAAACCTGATTCTGTACCTTCCTTGGGGAGTAGATGCGGCTGAAGCCAAGTAATGCACTGTCCCATATTAGAGTTTAAATTCCTGATAAGCTGCTTGGGGAAAGCCCTTGTTTTCTGCTTCTCTTGCATTTTACAGGAATAGTTCCCTTGTTTACTCTTCATAGTGTCTCTGTGGACTGCAGAGTAGAACCCTCTTCAAAGCCTCTTCCCATTGTAGGCTTTGTGGTCTAGACTGACTTTTCAAACTGGTCTTAAGTGATGGCTTAAGTGTGTTGCTGCAGTAGACTTGGATATCTTCAAGCTGTTAATTCATTTGTAGGTCAAAGGCTACAGCCTCTGAGATCAACGTCTTAAATTCTCTCTGTTGTGAAATATAAATGGTGTAACTAGCTGAAGTTTCTCTGTAGGTTTGCTTAATACTTTCCTTATTTTACTGCCAACCAGCACTTAATGTGTACCTTGCATTTTTATGGCTGTTGACAATCTCACTGCAAACTCCACTCCTAGAAACTTAGGTTTCTTGCTGTGTTTGAGGTCAGAAGTGCTGAAATCTTTAGCAATTCCTTCCTAGCTGCGGAAACATGAGAAATTAACTGTTATTAATGACTGACATAGTTATTCTGTTCCAGTGAAATAAGGACTAATTTAATGTAGCAATCTGTTTTCATTTCATAGCAATTCTGATACTGATGACTGAAGAGCTTCTGCCTTGTCCAGTTCTTTTTTATTAGTGATGTTTCTGTGGGGTAGTAGGAATTCAAGTTGTAAAGACACTGAGTTTCAGTCAGTCTTAGTGCCACAAGAGCCACAAATGTACTGTGACGCAGTTTGCAAATTCAGATCTTTCCTGTGTTTAGCGTGGAAACCATGTCCCTCAGAAGTGCAAATAATCCTGGTGATATCAGTTCCAGCTTGATGGAAAACAGCAAAGCAAGGGATTGCTTGATTCCTATGGGGTAAGTGATTCCTCTTCCCAAAGTTTAGGGGGTTTCCAGATGGTCTGTCTCCTCAGTGACTGTACTGTTCCAGATCAATATGAATGTGGTCAGCTTGGATCTGTATATGTCGGCATCTGCCTTGGTTGTGGTAGAAGATGAATTATATGAAATGGGGGAAGATCAGCAACTCTGATGAAAGATTTCCTTGTCTTACATCTTAAGCTCAATGGCTTAATGATCAAGGAAAATGGATTTGAACCATGTTTTTGTCAGAGTTGATTCGGGATTTGCTTCTGCCAAGCAATTCTTGGTTGAGAAGGCAGCAGTTAGCTTTGAGACTAAAGCCAGTGCTTGTACTTTGTGTTGTCTTAGGAGAAGCCAACTGCAGTTCCATTAGTGTCTCATTGGATTAATTCTCTGTTGTTTTCCCAGAATAACCTCAGAAAATGTGGCCGAGAAGTTTGGAGTTTCCCGAAAGAAGCAAGATGCCTTTGCCTTGGCTTCCCAACAGAAGTAAATGTTTGGGATTTTTTTTTAAACCTTTTAGTTAAGGAATGAATACAGATAGAAAATACACTGCTACTTCTTAAGCATGATTAAGTACAGCCTTCATGTTGCCTTCCCAATCTTATTCATGAGTAAAGAAGCTTGAGATGGTCAGAGTGAAGATTGGTGCATGTCCCAGGTTGTGTGGTGAGGACACCAGGTCCAGAGCTTTACTGGAGACTGTGAGACTAATCCTGTGCATGTACCACCAGGCACTGAGTCCTGAGCAGTGAATGCCCCTGTGTTTTTTCAGCATCCAAAGGATACAACCTCCGTGAGGCTTCTAAAACGAATGTGTTGTGCAGTATTTTTGTAGTGGCTTTCACTCAGTATTGTTTGAAACTGAATGTGGGAGTAGAAGCAGAAGGAACCTTTCCTAAAAGGGAATATTTAACTAGCTGTATCTAGAGGATGGCTGAGCTCATGAGAAGAGTGGTGTGTCTTCACTGCAGGTGTTTGGCTCTAAGTGAGCTCAGTCCTACCTCTCATAACCTTCTTAGGTCAGATCACTGCTGAAGTCAGCTGATGCCTGGAACACACGGGCTGTTCCGACATTCTAACAGCAGCAGGTGACATGTTAAAGTCATGGCCATCAAAGAGTTAAAGTAACTTTCAGAGCTCTGTTTAAGCATCGCCCCGGTCCAATTATTTATCTAAAAAGGAAGCTACTGCACAGGCCAGTTAACCTTTAAAATCTGGCCCTGCTTCTCAGGGAACTTGGCATGCCAGCCTTTCTCACTGACACTGAACTGATAACGCAAAAGGGTATATGAATGCGATCCTCACCTCTCACATAAGGAAGGGGGTGATTTTCTGGCCTCAGGATGTCTGTGGAGTTACTGATCTGTCCTTCAGCTCTTTGCTCCAAGTCTCACTTACCTGGGAGTATTAAATATTTTCATTTTATTATGAGAGGCTGAGAGAGCTGGGCTAGTTCAGCCTGGAGAAGAGAAGGCTGCTTTGAGACCTTGGAGCAGCTTCCAATGCCTAAAGGGGCTGACAAGAAACCTGGAAAGGGGCTTTAAAAGGGCCTGTAGTGATAGGACAAGGGGGAATGACTTTAAACTGACAGGGGGGGATTTAGATGAGATCTTAGGCAGAAGTTCTTCCCTATGAGGGTGGTGAGGCCCTGGCAGAGGTTGCCTAGAGAAGCTGTGGCTGCCCCATCCCTGGCAGTGTTCAAGGCCAGGTTGGATGGGGCTTGGAGCAACCTGGTCTAGAGGAAGGTGTCCCTGCCTATGGCAGGGGGCTGGAACTGAATGAGCTTTGAGGGTCATTCCAACCCAAACTGTTCTGTGATTCTATGATTAGTTAAAGTGATGGGGGCTTAAAAGAAGCTTTCAGTCTCTAATCTGTATTCCCTGTAAAGGGTGCTCTGCTGCTAAAAGGTAAACCTAAACTGTGGAGGCTTTTAAAATACCTTGTTGATGCTAAAGATTAAAATTGTGCTCTGATCTAATTTAACTAATTCTGCTCTCCTCACTTATATCAGTCTGTTTGTGTCAGTTGTTCCCTCCTGCGAATTCAGCTGTCTTGGGACCAGACCCTGTCTTCAACACACCTTTACTGCTTAAATTAAGTGATACCCCTCTGCATAGTCACACTGAACTATGCAGTAAACACTGAAACTGTTTTGGGCTGAAAGGTTGCATTTAGATGCCAGAAGATTATACCTGGCCTGTGGTTTAGAGCTCAACTCGTCTTTAATAGGACAAACCCAGGAATGAGTGAAGCTTTAGCCATTCCTTAGCCTATCGGAAGTTATTAACATTATGTGGAGGCTTAGCCCACATGCCCAGATTAAATTCTCAGAAATAAGAATTGGTGTTTGAACACTTGTGCTTTGACTGTACCACTGGACAAGTACAACTTCATGCTGTGTGCTGTAGGAGTCAGTCACAGCGGCATTGATGGGAACAGAATGGGTTGGGGGAGAACACCCATAAAAGTGATACATTTTGTATGATGAAGAGGTATAAAGTTTGCCTTCCCATGAATGGAGCCAAATATTGGCCTGTTGTCTTGTCACTACTTGGCAACGTTGTACTTGTGTACTAAGTCACACCTTAGTTCATTCTCTTATTAACTGGTTTCCTTGACATTAATTCTCTTGCAGTTCATGTCCAGAATATTTTAACTTTCCTAATCTTCTTTAACAGAGCAGCAAAAGCTCAGCAGATGGGACTGTTTAAAACTGAGATTGTTCCAGTGAAGACCACCATTCTAGATAATCAGGGCAACCAAAAACCAATCACCGTGCACCAAGATGAAGGGATTAGGCCCTCCACAACCCTGGAGGGCTTGGCAAAGCTGAAGCCTGCCTTCAAAGAGGATGGTAGCACTACAGCAGGTCAGCTCTGTTGTTAAGTTGGCGTTCCTGTGGTTTACCTGCCTTGTAATAGGATGTGCTTAGACAAAAGAGATCTCTTCCAACAGGTAACGCCAGCCAGGTCAGTGATGGAGCAGCTGCTGTTCTCCTGGCAAAGCGCTCCAAAGCAGCACAGCTGGGACTCCCGGTCATGGGAGTGCTCAGGTCCTTTGCTGTGGTTGGAGTCCCACCCGATGTGATGGGCATAGGGCCGGCATACGCGATCCCTGTTGCTGTGGAAAAGGCGGGTAAGAACCACTTGTCATTCACCCAGTGTTTGGAAGAAGGCAAATCAGACTCTGCAGGCTGAAATTTATGTTACTCAAGCCGGTGCAGCAGTCAGCCGTAGGAACAATGAACTTAGAATCAAAACCTTAAAAGAGATGTTGCCTCAGGTTGTTGTAGTACTTTTTGCTTGTACCCATTGTCATCTGCTCACCTTTGAGAAGCTCTTGGCATACTCAGGTTAAATAGCTTTTATAGCTTGTGGTTATTGTGTCCAGCTGTCATTGCTGTGATCACCTGTTCGCTGATAGTTTTCTGTCTCAAAATACTCTTCAAACTTTAATCCATCTGCAAGCACATCCCACTTAATCTAAGGAATTTTGGCAAACTCAGTGACAACCTGCCATGAAGTGCTGCAGTTTGCAGGCTTTAGATGTTGTACATAAATGCGTGCAAGTGTAGATACCCCACATGGAGCCAATGCCCCTGTTTTTGTCATTAAAGTAGGACTAGAACTCATAAAGGGAGGCTGTGAGTGAATTACTCTGAGATAATAGTAAGGCAAAAATACCTCCTTTTAAATCCTGGCTTTTTAAACCATAGGTCTGACTCTGGCTGACATTGATATATATGAAATTAATGAAGCCTTTGCAAGCCAGGTGAGTGATCTTCCTGTTTCAGTTGCAGCATTGCATGGCAGCTGAGTGTATTTCAGCTTAGTCTCCAAGTTAAATCTTAACTTGTTCTACATATTACATAGAGAAATGTTAATAACATGCACAGGGCTGTTGGAGGTCCTTGATGAAAGGTAGGAACTTCAATACTGTATCTTCCACAGATTTGTGATGTACCTGTCCGAAAGCATGTGGGCTCCAGTTTGAGGTGGAGTGGATGGGCTTAGCTAGCTTCCCTGTGCTTGGGATTTGTAATTAGTTCCACTCCTTGCCGTTGGGAAGGATGGTCTAGCTGGAGTCAAGGCCTCTTAGTGTGCTGTTTAATACTTTCAGAGCAGCTGACACAAGGATGTGGTGTTTGTGTAATAATACATAGTTTGAGTTAAGTTCATTTTAAGCATGAATCTTTTGAAGCCTCTCAAGCTCCTAGGACTGTCTGCTGTCCCTCCTTATGTAGGCATGAGATCACCAGTCTTCTCTGCAGTCCTTTTAGCTCTCTGTTGCAGGAGGGCTGAGACCTAATGAAGGTGAGAGCATCTCCGTGACATCATTCCCTCTGTCTTTCTAGGCTGTGTACTGCGTTGAGAAGCTGGGCATTCCAATGGAGAAAGTCAATCCCCTGGGAGGAGCCATAGCTCTGGGGCACCCACTGGGCTGTACGGGTGCTCGTCAAGTTGTCACCTTACTCAATGAATTGAAGCGCAGAGGGAAGAGGTGAGCACTGATGAACAGTATTAACCTTAATGCCTCACATGTGTGTAGGTAGCTTAGTAACCCTCATTGTGGGTTAAGCTTTTTCCATCTCTCTGATAGGTTTTGAACATGAATTTCTGATGGCCCTCCGAAGTGAGGGCTGGGTAATGTCTTGCTGCCCTTTTGAACCCAAACCATTCTGTGAATCTGGGATTGTAGGATTCTCTCCCTCCCCAGCTGATTTAATCTAATCTGTCTTTTTCTTAATTCGATGTGTTCTTCCCTTTCAGAGCATACGGTGTGGTGTCAATGTGCATCGGAACTGGCATGGGTGCCGCAGCAGTGTTTGAGTACCCAGGGAACTAACCTCCAGCCTACTGCCAGAACAACGCAGCAGCTAATTCTCTGCCTTCACTAGTAATAGCAAATGATTTGCACTGTGAAATCAAGTGGACTCTGGGATTCATGACTAGATCTACAAATTTTAGGCACAAACTGTGAAGTAGAATAATCCATAGAGACCTACTGAGCTGGTGGGAAAATGTTAGAGCCGGCAAATGGCAGCCTGACAGCAGAAATGGGTTCAGTTGAGGTCCAGGCACAGGCCCTCGTGTGGTGATTACAAATGGATATTTCTAATTTAATCAATCCCTTTGTTCTGTGACTACTGTCAGAGAGTAGTAGTTCATGGTGCAGTATTTTTGTATGGCAAATTGCCTAAAAGTATCACTCAAAATGATCAGTGCATGTGAAGAGGCTTTCCCAGGGTTGTCTTTAAAAGATGTCACCATCTCACAAGAAGCCTGGAGCAGGTTGTTTGAAAGAAGTGCAAAGACTTTACATTGTTTCCTTTACAACTGCATCTATTCCATCCAACTCATAAACTGGCTCTGCCCTAAGGTGTCCCTATGCTGGAGACTGGCTATAGCTTTCTGCTTCTAAGAAGGCTGCTCTGAAGCCTCCAGGGGGGTAAAGTGGAAGGACTAGAATGTAATTCACACAGGAGGTGCCTGAACAGAAAAGTGCTGTTGAACTGCAACAAGCCAGGACTTGAAAGTGGCCTTGCCACCATTTTTTCCACAGCTCATGTGACTCTTAAGTTAAAGGAGAGTCTTATGATTAATACTTACTTACCTAACATAAAACAGATTTCAGCACTACTCTTACTGCAAGCACTATACAAACATCAGTGACATCTCAGCGCTAATACAAATACATATTTCATCTGGTATAGTTCTCCCTTGCCTGTTCTCTCTTAAAATCACTGAAGCTCAGCACTAACAGCTTGAATATGAAATGTCCTCATCCACTTTGACATGTTAAAAAGCTCAGATTTGTAACACAGACTGAAGTTCTCCTGGCTCTTGGTTTTGCACTTAATACAATTTGGTTCTTGCAATATATTTGTTTTCTGGTGGTTGTTAATTGGAAGCCATGATTAGTTAGAGCTGTGTGATAGGCTCCTGTTCCAGTGCTGCAGCCTATCCCACTCCCCAGCAATCACTCAGGCTGTATTTCAGAGCAAGAAGATGAAATTATTTGGTGGTTGCAGAAAGGCATTAGAGTTCCTCGGGGTCTTTTTTTGCACTGTGTATAGAATGAGTTCTTGCTAGTACAAATTGGTTTTAAACTGGGCAGAAGGCAACAATCATGCATCTTCTGTTCTCCTCAGGTGGGGAGGGCAGCCCCCTCCACCACACACACTGCCAGTAACAAAACCCTTTTATATGATGAGAGTGGAAAACTTACCAGGCTCAGAAGTGGGAATTTCAGTGACCTTTAGTTAAGTAATACTAAAAACATTTAGAGAAGTGTGAGTAAATGGTAACCATGTGGGGGGAAGGCATTCAAAGGCAGAAGGGTTCCTCCCTCTGTAGCTGAAGGGTATGTTCTCAATGCCCAACCATGATGAAACACACAGGTTGGTCATCTTCCAAGAAGTCCAGGGAAAGTTGTCTCTTCCCCTTTTCATGTAAGGGAAACAGCCTGGGGAATGCTGGCCTATTCACTGGTTCTTGCTTTTATGATGTGTCAATATCTTTTTAATGTCCAACAAATAACCAAGGCAAAACAAAAGCTACTTTACAAGGTACAAACAGTCTTTAATTGTAATTGGAGGCGTGCAAAGGGATTTTGCTTGTTACCATGGCTGCTTCACTATTTCAAACCAATTACTTTGCAGAGCCTGGGGGTAGTGGTTAAGCTTACTACAGTGGTAAAAGGAATGGAATAAGATTATGATTCTTCTCTTTAAAGTACCATGAACTTTCCCCCCCTCATAACTTAAAATTTCATTCTGCTAAAATTCTAGTCCATAATAAAACAACTGACAATACAGGCTCAATGGATGGCACATCTGCAACCAACCTGTTACCTTGACATTTATCCCACGGTGTCTTGATTAAATTTAATACAGGTCTTCATACCTTCCATCGTAGGTTCCTTGCCCCTTGATCTGTAGCTTGCAGGGCTTCTCCCCCAGTATTCCAGTAACAGTCATGACCGCTTTGTATTGAATGTCGCTCCTGAAACGTAGTGCAAAAGGGACAGTTCAGTTACAGGGAGATGCAATTCTCTGTTTAAGGATGAGGTTAGTTACTTTGTGGAGGAAAAGGGGGAGAACGGTGCTCTAAGCACCAGTGATCACAAGCACCAGTCTCTCATGCTGGTGTTGACTCTGGGGGTAGCAAGATCACTTTAGAGTGTCATGGCCCATAGCTACATAGAGGATGTTTGAGAATGATGATGCAGTTGGTACCTGAAGTAAAGATGTTGAGTAACTAACTTCATATTGTAACGAAAAACTTGAATATCTTCCTACTGAAAACGTTCTATTTTAGTTAAAAGAACTGAAGTTCTGCTGAGGGCTTGTGTTTGGGAACAAACCAACACCTGCACTGCCCTGGTGTGAAAACTGATCCTGTGACAGCATTTGAAACACAAAAGTTTTTGTCAACTTGCTTAAGACAAGAGGCAGTCAGTGGAGTCCAGGATGTAAGTGAACATCAAGCAGCTTACAGCAACCGTAGTTTTGTACTAAGTGGAAGTCTTAGAGTGCAACTGGCCTAAGGCTAATGCTGTGCAGTGCTCCAGAGACTGCTCATCTGAAGGATTTCTCTGCGTCCGAGATAGCTGTTGTAAAGGCCTGAGGCAAGAGCCTGTGCTTGCCACACAACTTTTATTTTCTCCTCCTCACAAAAGATTCCCCTGCAGGAAGACCACTGATTTAGGGAGGTGAGTTATTAAAATTACCTCACACCTTGCATATAGTTATTTGCTAATGCCACACTGGTCCTGAGTGCTGGGGGATGTGTAGTCTGGAGCTGAACAGACAAGCTGGCTGCTGTACAGCAGCATCTCTGGTTCCAGGCATGCTGATTGTCAGGCAAAAAGAAGTGCTTCCGGCACATTCAGAAACACTACAGAGAAACTTTGGCAGTGAGATTGCAGTAGGTCCAGTGATGGAGATCTCACAGTGTATTCTAGGGAGGTTGAAGTTACATCAGTAGCTCATGTCACCTTAAATCACTGGGATGGCCTTTGCCTTTCTTAAGGTTTATGTCAGCATGCTGTAACTTCCAAGAACATAAGCTGAATTTTATACAGGAGTTGCATCTCTTTAATTAAAGTGAAGAGATTAAATGCTTTGGGTCATCATGGAATCACAGAATGGTTTGGGTTGGAAGGGACTTTAAAGCTCATCCAGTTCCAACCCCATGCTATGAGCAGGGACACCTTCCACTAGACCAGGTTGCTCAAAGCCTTGTCCAACCTGGCCTTGAACACTGCCAGGGATGGGGCAGCCACAGCTTCTCTGGGCAACCTGTGCCAGGGCCTCACCACCCTCACAGGGAAGAATTTTTTTCACATCAGGAAAAAAATTCAAGTTTCTCCACACCCAACACCCCCAAGTCCTTCTCCTCAGGGCTGCTCTCAGTCCAGTCTCCCCCAGCCCGTATTTTTGCTTAGATTCCCCTGGCCCACATACAGGACCTTGCACTTGGCCTTGTTGAATTTCATGAGGTTTGCACTGTCCTGTCTCTTCAGCCTGTCCAGGTCCCTCTGGATGGCATCACTTCCCCCTGGTGTGTCACCACACCACACCGCTCAGTGTCATCAGCCTGCCTCTGCCATGGCACATCTAGGTCCTAGCCTTGACAAAGGTTATGATATTTATGGGACAAAGGCATTTTGATCTGCTCGCTTCTGTTCTTTACTGCCATTTGCCTGCAGCTCACGTTATCTTTACTATGTGGAAAACCTTTGCACTAGACAGAAATACCTTGGTGCTTTTCTTTCTCAAACTCCTTCACTGTAACGCTATCCATTGCACCAGGCTATGCAAAACACATGGTATCACTGATGTTGCCCTAAAGAAAGAGGTTTTATCCAGTGGTCTGTAGTCAGTGTGTCATGCCAGCTGTTGGAATAACATGATTTCAAGTGGATTAATTCAAAGCTGCAATTCTGGGTGTCAAATACAAAAGAAACCCCGTATATAGGAGCAGCGTAGAGAATGTGGTTATGTGGAAAAAGCACCAGCTGGGAGCCCAGGACTGGGATGTGTTAGAAGCAAAACGAACAGCCTGGTAACACAAGAAAAGAACAGACTTGCTCTTTGCTTTCAGTGACCACCCACCATAAACTGGGGCTTGACAGGGAATAGCAGCAAGATCTCAGTCCTGTTAACTGTACCTTGCAGTAAAGCTGATCTGCAGAATTGCTTTGGTAGGTGGGTCCCCTTCACGTGCCTCCAAAATGCCATTAGTAGGGAAGACAGAAAACACCTTTGCATTGTTATGCCTTTCCTGTTCATCTGCAGTGAAAGGGGCAAATATCAAACAAAGCGATACAAGTCCCTTCATGTAAGTTTGTACAGCATATCGTGCTCAAACCAATGTGCCTCTGCACTCAGCAACTAATAAATCATGCCCTGCATGTGGCCATGTCTGTTTTAATCCCCTAATCAAGTGGCCTCCATGTCAAAATAATAAAGCCCTGATCCTCCTTCCTTTGAAGCCCATCTGTTTTTAACATCATTAGGCAGAAGCTCAAACCAAACACGAGGAGCTGCTGCTTCTTGTTGTCTCTTAGGATTGCATTATGAATGAGCAAAGCATGCCTATTATTTGTAGGGGTTGTGATCCAATCTTTGGTTAAATCTGGAGTGACTGCTGAAAGCAATAGAGATGCACTGATGCCAAAAAAAAGGAAAAGCCCTCGTAAGTGAGAACATGACAACAGAAGCAGACCTGATTGATACATTTGCAGCCAACATCCTCGTATATTGGCTATCTGTTGAGTGAATGCAGGCAGTCTTACTAAATGAACTATATAACAAGGAAATCCAATTGCAAATGCAGAATACCCAGCAAAGCAGTCCAGTAACTTCTACAGCCACTCCTGTTACACAGGAAGACATGTTCAATCTTGGTTTGTCCAACAAAGCAGCTCTTGAAATGAACCATGTGGCAGGAGAGCTTCAGAACTGGAACAGTGAGGTAAGCAGTCACTGGGACCAGCTGCAGAAACAGAGGAAAGGGAGACGAGGAAAAAAAACCCACCTGATTTTTGTAGAGCTTTAATAGAATCTGCTGCAAGTGGATCATTCCTAACCTCCAGCACTGAATCAAGAGTAGTTGCTCTGTGTTCTTTCGTGATAGAGTTGATTCCCCATTCTACAGCTTTCAGTGAATTAAGTTGTTGCTTGTTTTACTTTTTTGGGACACGTTTTCAAACCAGACACTGACCTTAATGAAATAACATGGAATGAACATCCTCACTTCTTATTTGGGTTTTCTGTAGAGATGCAGACATTACAGCATCTCGGTGTCCCGTAGGACTGTACATGACCCACTGTGAATCATTCAATTTGCGCAGATTGCCCAAGATTACTCTTAAATTGACTGTATCTGAGGTATGGTGCTTGGACCTTACACAGATCACTCCTCAGAAATACCTGGTACGAAACAAAACAAAAACAAAAAAACCCACCAGTGCCTGCAGTGTACTGGAACTGCTGAACACTACGGGGGGTTTATAGCCTTCCATCTGGACGAGACTGGTCTTTAGATGCGTGTGGGCTGTGAACACACTACAAGTTGGACAGACCCAGGAGACTTTCAAGAAGCACTTGGGTACTGCAGGAGGCAATGCATGGTGACTCAGTCACTGGCATGATCGCTGAGACAGTCCTGATCCCATGTCTCAGAAGGACATTGAGAGTCAGACTGTGACTGGGCATGCTGCCCTCGAATTGAGTTGAATCACCATCACTGTCACGCTGTGCAAAGAGCTGGGGCACGAGGGTTCAGACCCAAAACTGCTCTGTCCATATCAGTGTCACCTGCAGCTTCAATGGAGTCACCTGCAGGTTCAGTGGAGAGCTATTTGCAAATCCCTGGCTGTTCATTTGAACTGGATGACACAATTTAGAGATGGCTGTATTTCAAAGCTGAGTAAACCCTAAGGCAATCCAAACAGAGATAATGATAAAACACAGCCTCTTCTCAGGACCCAGAGATCTGGTTCTGATCTTACCTGGGTAGTGTGGTTACTATATTCAATGACCAGATTTTGATTAAACTTCAGCTTTCTCTCTCCGTTCTCAAACTGGAGAACTTGGAATCCAGGAAGCAGCTGGGTATCTGGCAAATGTTGATATGTAAGTAACTCCAGAGTTGTGTGGAACGACACTTTCACCTGTGGGAAGAGGAATTCAGATGACCATCACATAAGAAGACACAATGAGCAGGAAATCCAAAGTAAACATTGCTCAAAGGCCCAGATGCACATTTTCCCACTGGAACCCAAAGGTGTCAATGCCAGCAACCAAATTCCCATTGGAACAAAGGGTTATAATTCAAGAAAAAACACATCTATTTCCTATGAATCCAGTACACATAGACAGAGTGTAAAGGTGAACAGCCGATCTCTGAACCACAGCAGAGAAACAGTCTCTAGGAAGAAAAATTTCGGTTCTAAATTCCTGAGGTTACAGATACCATATTCCCAAAGCTGTCTTAGACATGCAAGTTGTCTTTCTTCCCACATGTGCAGAATTAAGATACGCTTCCATGTCAAAATGAACACTAAAAAATGAGAAGCACACTTCAAAAATACAACTGTTAGGGATTCTTTGCACCCCAGCTAATTCTTGACTTTGGACTTTGTTTCCTTCAATGTCATTGCGTAGACCCCAAGCAAACCATTTTTTTCCTGTTTGCGTTGCCTGTCTCTAATTTAAGGAAATAAGGGCCTGCAGCCTTTGGGAATCTTTTAATTTGACCAGCATATATACGGCTATTGATTTAGGTGAGCTCCAAAAACTACAGGGTTTCCTGCAGGAGGTTGCAACAGGTCAGAGTTGATGAGAAAAGCTCATCAGGGCCACTGCAGGAAAGCATTCTGTAGCCACAATATAGAGGTCAAACTTGCAGTAGTTGGCTCTTGTTGATATACCAACATTTTCCCTGAAACTGGGAGATTTCTAGACTGGTTGTGTTTTGCTTGCGGTTCATCTGAGCCGCACTAACACACTAGTTACACTCAACTATCTATCCTGGCACAGCATTACTATTTTTGAGCCTACCAGCATGTTTTGCTGTGGATAAAGTACAAGTTGTGGTTGCTGTCCTTCTTCCTCCCTCTTGCTGTGGGATGTTTTGGTGCTGTTTTGGGGATCTGTGCTGGAGAGGCTGAAAGGCGTAGACAGAAGGAGCCTGAAGTACAGAGGAACCTTAGTGTAATTGATGAGTTTCAAACTTTGAGTCATCACTGAATTGGTCAAAACCTGGTGGAGAAATGATTCAAAACTGGTTAGTTTTAACTCCCTGGAGAGGGTTGTGCTGGTCTGTCTGTCCATTCAGCATCAGCAGGGATCTGAAGGGCTTTACCCCAGAGCAACCCAGTATTTTCTGCTTATGTTTTCCAAAATTTCTTAAGTAAAAACCCCAATACATAAACAATGTAATATGGTTAAAAAGCCTTTGAATGTCAAGAGAAACAGGAACTGACCAGGCTGCTCTGAGTGACTTATTCTATCAGATCTTTTATCCTGAAATTAAATACTTATTTTTCTACTTGCAAGCCCCTCTTCAAAGAAAGAAAAAGACATAAAATAGGCACTGCCTGAGCTCAGTTTTGCTTATTCCTGGCTAAAAAGTCCTTAAGGTCCTTTTGTTTTACTTATCTTCCTATGTGCAATATAGACAATTGCAACATGAGGCTATTGGGACTAAAGATGCATTTTAAAAACCAGGTGCATGCAGCTCTGAATTCTCACAATAGTACAAACCAGCCAAATACATCCATGCGTGAAATACTTACTCCTAACATAGGAGGGTCTGGTAAGAGATCACTTGCCATTGCGTAAAACACCATTCCTCTGTCAAGATCCATGTCGACTTTCAACCTGAGTATAAAGAATCAGAGCTGGTCAGTGCCCTTTCCTCCAGGCTAATCTATTCTGTGGCTGTACCAGCCATGGGAGTGAGGGTACTCACAGAGCATGCCTTACAAAAGCTTGTAAGTCTACTCGTAGCTGTGGTACTTCATAGCGGTGCTTGCGATGTACTTTGTTAGGTACTGTCTTTGTATGCTGAGAACAGAAATGACGTATAAACTGATAGCAATAAAACCCCAAACCTACTTCTAGCCCAAGAGGCTGTTAGACAAAATAAGATTCTGTTTGTTTGTAAGGCACAATGGTGACGTGCAAGGAAAGGCAAAAGCTAAGCTGTAGTTGAACCCTGAATTGTGGTTAATGCAGATACTCCTTCCTCCAGGAATAAAACCCATCAGGGATGTTTTTATTAAATATTTAGTTATCATTCATTCATTATACCTTGCACTTTTGCAATGATTCATATCAGAGAACTGCAGAAGAATTCATATAACATTATTCAAACCTCACATTAGCCTTTGAGCTGGAGTTGTGGAAGAGGAAGTTTCCCAGAGGAGAAAGATGCTGTCTAAATTCACACAGGAAGGTGGATGCAGAGCCAGGAACAGAACTCAGCAGTCCTGAGTCTCAGTCCCATTGTTAACTACTGTTATCAATAAAACCTGATGTTGTGACAGTGTTTCAAATCCTGGGCTTTTGTCTGGGATCTACTGCCCAGACAATGTAAGAAGATGGGGACATTCCTATCCCAGAATGCTTCCAAAGCAAATTTAACAAACGAATAACCCCAGTTAAGGAAGGATATAACAGGGTAGCAGGAACAGGACTGTTTATACAGACTGGCCAGGTACACAGCAGCCTGTACATAAATTACAGGAAGGGAAAGAATTATTTTCTAGTCATCTTTTCTAGTCATCTGGACCTCTTGGAGCAAGTCCAGAGGAGGCCACGAAGATGCTCTGAGGGCTGGAGCACGTCTCCTATGGAGACAGGCTGAGAGAGCTGGGCTTGTTCAGCTTGGAGAAGGCTTCCTGCACAAGAGCAGCTTCCAGTGCCTAAAGGGGGATGACAAGAAAACTGGAGAAGGGGCTAAGTGCATGTAGTGATAGGGAAGAATGGCTTTAAACTGAAAGAGGGTGAATTTAGGTTAGATATTAGGAAGAAGTCCTTTACTGTGAGGGTGGTGAGGCACCGGCACAGGTTACCCAGAGAAGCTGTGGCTGTCCCATCCCTGGCAGTGTTCAAGGCCAGGTTGGACAAGGCTTTGAGCAACCTGGTCTAGTGGAAGGTGTCCCTGCTTATGGCAGGGGGGTGAAACTGGATGAGCTTTAATGTCCCTTCCAATGCAAGCCATTCTGTGATTCTGTGCTCTTTAGCCTTGCCGTGATAGTCAGTTTACCTTGTCTAAGCTCATGAAACCCAGCACAAACCCTTCACACTGCACTTCAGTCGCAGTCTCTGGGAGTACGTGTGGGGTGAAGGAGATGCAAACGGAGATGCTGCCACCTCCTGGAACCACCTGCAAGCGAGAGACAACTGTTTAGTAGTGCAGGGAGCTGCCTGGGATTGCGCAAGCCATCCTTCTTAGCCCTGAGCAGCTGAGTTGCGCAAGCAGCAGAAACTCCGCTCAGGCTTGCAATAAAATGACAACATGTGACAACAAACCCGACAATTATTTCAGCTGCAAATATCAGTGCAGCCACACTTTATCATCAACAGGGTTTAAGCATAGTCACAGACCAGCTCTCTTAAGTACACAAACATATGTGTTTGTTTTTAAAAACAGCCAGCTCTGCCCACTCTTACTTCATGTCTAACTCAGATGACTCTCCCACAACTGACAATGCTCACAGATAGAAGCAGCATTTTGATAAAGAGTTACAAGCGTGACTTCAGGGTATTTTACAGTTCAGTTTACTCTTTGCTAAATTTGTATTTTACATGAAAGCAGGGAATGTAATCAAATACACCAGTCAGCTACAGCAGATTTTCTGATATTTATAGGTTCAACAGATCCTGCTTTCTTTAGATGCATTATACGTGTTATGGTTAAATGCTACTATTGCTGCAGAAAAACTTTTGCCATCTCCCTACAGAGCCAAGTCACATCTAGCCAAGTTTGTAAGCTCAGGGGCCACATGGTGTGTACTGCTTTCAGGCTCCTGCTGTGCAGATGCAAACTCCCCCTTTCATGTGACCACTGGGTGAGACGTTTGCTGCTGTTGGACCTACATTCAGTAGAAGCAAAACTAGCTCAGCTCTCCCTGCACAGTATTCCCCTGCTCAGAGTGTTGAGGAGTGTAAGAGAGCTCTGCCTAAAGTCTAGCAGGGCCAGAGCAGAGCTAGTGAGCTCTGTCATGTCATACAACACTGCAGGGTCTGTGCACTGTGGTCAGAGAGAGCTTAGCTGTTCAGACGTGGATATAAGCCAGGTCTGGCCAGCTAGGCTGCACAACACCTGAGCTAATAGGCCTTCCTGGAGCAATAGTAGGAACACGGAGAATGTTTCTGCAGAGGACAACCTGAATGATTCTACAGGCATCAGCTCCATTCCACAGGGGTAAACCCGGCTGCTGGCTGCCCTGACAGAGTCTGCCTCCATAACGCAGCACTTGTTTATTGGAACTCTCTCAGCCCAAATAACCCTGGAGCTGGCCATGGGCTTCATTTATTTGAGATGCCATCTCTGTAATTATTTCTTTTATGTAATCTTTAGCTCATTCTAACTTGTAACTGAAGCTCTTTGGCAAACAGCTTGCTAATATTAGGAATTAAAATTGTCACAATGATGTTTTGGGCAACCCTGTCCCTCAGTGAGATCTTTCCAGCACTGTCTTTGCTTTATCTTATTCCTAAGAAATTGTGACACTGTGGCCCCTATTTGCACAGTTGCTTTTGAAGTACCTTGTGTTACAACAGTTTATCCAAAAGAGTTGTCTACAGAGCAGCAGCCTGCTTTCTAGCTCTGCCACATCTACTTAGCAGATCTACCCTGGTTAAATGACATCCTTCCAAAGCTTCAGGCTGGATGCCTCTCACCAAATGCCACGCATTTCACGAAGGCAGCCCAAGTAAGAGAACCAGAGATGCCACTCTAGAGCACCTAGTACAACCGAACACTTAATTCCAGTCAACTGCTCAAATGTAGGTAGGACACTTTCTTTTCTCTGTTGACTTTGAAAACTCTTCTCATGGTCATCTTCAAGATCCCAAAGCCTCCTAGCCTATGGTGTCACTGTTTAGTAGCCTCTACCTCAAACCAATGCTACCTCCTCCTCCTCTGTCTCTTCTGTCCTGCAGAAAATATGCTAAATCTAAGCACAAAGGAAGCGTAAAATCTTACTATCTGTCTTGGAGTAATGGAGTAGGGGCTGTCTGCAGGAACCCCTTCATGAGGTCGTACAAGTACAGAGACGAGTTTCTGCACTGTGGGTCCTTGGGTGGTGGTTTCCTTATCTTTGCTGTCAGAGCCTGAAGACTGCAGGGGACACAAGGGTGGGGAATGGTTAAAACTGTTACGCTGCAAAATAGGAATTCGAGTGAACAGGGAACTGCTGCACTAGTCAGTAAGCATGGCCAGCTTCAGCTTCCCTCTTTCTGGCACACAAGCTGGACATGTGGATGTGTCCTGTACATTAATTTTTTCATGCATAGGTTTGCTGTCTTGAAACAGCTCCTGAACAACTTGGAAAATGTGTATGCCTGGGTCCTGTTCTACCCAGAGAAGCGCTCAGCTGTGTCATCGCTGGCCAGTTATACAAACCAGCACTCCAGAGCAATAACATTCCCTTGTTTCACAAGATGGGTTAGAGGTGTATTCAAAACAGCTATGCCTTCTGAGCTGAAGCAGAGAAAATGTGAGTTTAGTGTGTTTTTTGTAAAGCTTTTTCCAGAGAAATATACGTATCCTGCATGATATCTTCTTATCATTCCCAGCCCTTCAAGAAGGCAATTTGCCATATTATAATCAAACTTCACGTGTAATGTTCTTTTAGAACATGATAGCATCTAACAGAACCAATCTACTTTTGGCACTAGGGTAAATACCTCCATGTCGTTACCAGCAATTTGAACTTTGCAGGTTAGATTTTCCTCCCTGACTACCGCACACATGGACACCATACAGTCCCCATAAGAATAGCAGACCCAAATTAAGGAGTTTTAGTCATCCTAGCCCTATCATGTAAAAGTGGCATTAGTTTTTCAAAGAGAGTATTTTAAGAAGTATCTCAGCAACTTCTTTAGCAGTTCTAAAAGAAGTAGAAGCTGAAGAGCTATTTGCTTACAGCTCATTATGTAAACTGATTGCTGATAGCAATAGCCATCTGCTCATGTATTGGCTTTTTTGAGTGTGAGAGGAGCTGCATTTGTTTTAACAATCCAGCTCTTAGTTACAAGTTATATCTCATGTTACTGTTTTCAGTCTTTCATGCCAAGAAGCCCATCATGCATCTAAGCAGCAGGATGAAAAACAGACTTAACAGCTGACCTCATCAGTGGTTTGCAAAACTGGATAAATGCTTCTGCGGGGAATGGCAGACTGATCCAGCTTTAACGCGATCTCTGACTTCAAGGTGCTACCAATTGATCCAGTCTCTTTTTCATCTGTGTTCTTAAGAGGAAAAGGGTCTTCAAAGAAAATTAACAGGTCCACTAGTTTATTATCATCTTGCTCTTGGTTGTAAACTTCCCAGTCCAGGCGGATGTCTGGATTGAAGAGGAGAAAGGACAGTTACTGGTCACTGAGAAGACTCATATGTTAACTGGTACTGGAGAACCAGAACATCAAGGAATGAATTTATGTCTAGCAACTGGATTTGTATTGAAGCATACCTTAAGCTTTCCATTTTGCTGTAAACTGAAAGGATTTAAGATCACGCGTACTGTGTTCTTACTATGGCTTGGCCACTTAGGTCCTAGCCTGTACTGTTAATAACATTAAATAAATTATAAGCATTTTATTTGTTAAGCAGATGTGTTTGGTGGCATTTGGGAAAAAAAAAAAAAGTGATTGACCTTTGCTCTGAAGAGTTTAACATCTCACTCAAGAGATAAAGACTAAACACGGAACAGGCAGACGATGCCACTAAGAAGCAGGTAGCACATCTGATTAACCAGGGTTAGTGCTGCAAGGGTGGAAAATCCTGAATTCCCATTATTTGAAGGAGTGAAACCCCAGGCACATCAGGATCGGATGTGCCATTCCATAGTAACAACACATTGAGTCCACTACGTATATTCTACTACACTCTGGCTGGAGCTTACCTGCTTTATGGTTACAGAACACAAACTAATATTCTTGGCAGTAATGCCATAATGGTAAATACTACTATAGACATAAAGACCTGGCAACATGTATTATTGTTCTGTACTACATTAGAAAACAGCTTAGACACTCTTTTATATGCTATTATTAGTTTTACAAAACCCATCTTGATTAGGAAACAAGTAGGCCTGTTAATTAACATGTTAATGGGTCATTTGATGACACTCTCTGGATGTCAATGGTTGCTGTACAGAAGTCATTCTTACCAAAGGGAGTGGGATTGTTGAGCTGGACCCTCCTAAAGACAGGAGACCCTCCAGAGACATGAGTGCCAAACCTGAGGGGGGAAACCTTGCTGTCAGTACATGCAGAAAATAAGAGTGGATGGCTGAAATCATTAAAGATTTGTTTAACAGTGGAAACATCTGGCTGTATTGGCAGCCTGTTAAGAGTGGCTGTCATGTAAACCATGGCATATACTGTGAAGTAGAATATTATTTTATTTAATGTCTCTTTTATCCAGTTTCTTGTCCCAGACGCTTCAAGGTAAACACAAGAAATCAGGCTACATGACAGTTACCCATGTCAGACATTTTCAGGTCCATAAAGGCATTGTTTTTTGGTTGGTTTCTTTTTTTTTTTTTCCTTTAAGTTGAATATAGCTAAATCCATTTTCTGTACCCCAATACAGAGCTGACAGTGCAGATGCTCTTAGCTGCAATATGATACCCAATGTTAATTCCTCTGAAGTCAGCAAGAAGGAGCCATACTGCCTGGCAGCTGGTGGAGTGTGAAGTGTCATGGTCCCCATTAACCAAAACTTACCCCTTACCCAGATATGCAGGTGCAATTTGCTGTACAAGAGGGCTTAAAGCTACCTCTGCCCCTATTTACCTTTGGGGCTACATTTCTCCTCATCTATATAAAGGGGCAGGGAGAAATGAACTGTGGATGATGATGTTGATAACTGCCACCATGTACCAGTTTCTCTCTCCACAGAATCAAATGAGGCTGGACTGGGTGAACTTCTACAGCTATAAGCCCAGAACAGCGACTGCTGGCAAACCTAAGAAGGCTTGTATGCAGATTCTTTTCTAATTGTGCTGGCAGAGCCAAGTGTATTTGTGTTACAGAAGCAGAAACTGTAATTTGACAGTGACTTTGCTAACCTCATTAGATCACAAAAAGATGGAACAGGTGTGTGTGTGGGCTATAGTCCAACCATATTTAATTATTAGACAGTAATATGCACTATACCTGATTGTGGGTGACTTTGTTTGTGGTCCTGTCAGCTGCAGGAAGATTGGACAGCCTTTCACAGTCATTTGCATAGGAATTAATTTAGGTTCTAAGTTTCCCACCTATTAAAAAAAGAATTGTTGCTATTAGAATCAAGATAAAACTTCAGTTATCAGGTTAAAAATATATTTTGAAAAATTATTAGATTTTCAAATATTTTTTATTGGTTCTTTTGACAGTATCTAGTTTATACACTAATGAAAGCTCTTCTCAGCAGGAGACTGCATTTGTCAGCTTTCCTGTGGCTTTTCCATGCAACACAATATATTACATTGGTAGAGCAGAGTAGTGCACTGGCCAGCTACCAAACAGATTTTGTAAATCAAAACTGCTCCAGTCATTTTAGAGGCACATGAAAACCTCTCAAGAGATCAACATGTTACCCTGAACTAAACCACACTCTGTAAAAGAAAACACTTGTGCTTTATTGGAGGTAGTGGTACAGAAATATATATCCTAATTTTTATACAAATCCCAACAAGCTGAAGGAGTATTTTTGACAGAAAGGAATCTGGAAAATATAATTGGTGTAAAATGTGCCGTAGCAATTCTTCACTTAAAACTGCAGCCCCACCTACCTTACAGACAAGATCATCCTGGTACTCTCCCCACATATTGTTGTAAGCTGTTATTTCTATGATTAGCTGCTGGAAGGCTTTTAGAGTTCCTGTGGAAGGTTGTATATGGAAAGCTACTCCCTTCCCATGAGACAGCAGAGCTGCAGCAAACTCTGAAGGAGCATAGCAAAGAAGCAGTTGATGACTTCTGAGGAAATGGAACAAAGTCTTTCAAAGAATACATAGGACCATATTTCTAGCTGGTATTAATGAGCCTAACCTCACTGGCTTCATAAAAACCCACCTGGAATCATTGACACAACCCGCATTCATACCACTTTACCCAAGCTCCCTTCTGCAGTGGGTCATAATCAGATTTTGAGACTTAGTTCTCACCCAGATTATCTTATAGGACACCCTTTCAGCACCCTGATCCAGGACTTTTTGGAATATGCAAGGGACTAAATGGTTACATGAAAACACCCTCAATTTGAGAAAAATAAGCTAAAGTTTGTGCTAACTGGTTGTTGTTCTGTTAACAGCTGCCTGATTACCTCTGTGTGCTCTGCAACACAAACAATGAATTACAAAGAGCAAAGCCTTTCCACATTCTGAGCCACCCAGCCTTATTAATCAATAAGCTTGCATGGAATTTGTCAGAACAGCATTCTTCCAATATTAAGTACTAATTCAACAGCTGAAAAGCTCTGTCTTTGTAACAGATACCAAACATTATGGCAAGGTACCAATATGTCCAAGTTTTATTTTGGATACAGAAGACACAAGCACACATTATAGCATTTGTCTCCCATTTCCCCCCTCCCTGGGTCTCATGTGGCTCTAAGTATTACTATTTTTCAGTACAATGCATCAGAAATGATAGATGGGTTCTGCTGTACAGAACTGTTCTGTTCTTCCCCACAGCAGGGAAGGTATATGAAAGGGTTTGAGAGAGAAGAGTCTGCTGTGGTGGCACTGGAATACTGTAGTAGGTAAGTAGCCAAATGTTGTGCATGTCATCCATACTGTGTGCTGGGAGCGATCCTGGGAGTGAACTATCACCAGTCACTCATCTTTGTTGCAGTCTGCTGTTTTCAAGAAAAAGAAGGAGAGGGAGAAAGAAAGAGAGTGGGAAAGAGAAAGCAGCAGTTTGCGGGTGGAGAGAGAAAAAAGCAGCAGGGGGAAGAGAGAAGTTGACCTAATGCTTGTGCAATGTGTGCTTTCAAACTCAAGAATGCACTGAGGAACAAGTCATTTAACAGTGCAGACTTAGCCAGATGCTTCCAGAATGAAATAACCTGACTGGCACATTTAATGCTGAATATATTAGTCGCTTGTCTCTTGCCTTCTGTCCATCAAGGGATTAAGAGCTATTACCCTACCTGACCGTGCTCTTCTGGCTGCATGTACTGAGATGGGTCCTCTTCTTTTCATCAAATAGCTTGAGGAGCTTAAAAAAATTAAAAAAGCCACTTCTGTGAAATGAGAAAGACTCTGCTAAAGTAACAGCTCTACTTGACTCAAATTAGTGGCCATTATAACCTGAAGGATTGCCTGGAAGGCATTTTTTTGACAGTAGCATCCTTAAGAGTGAATCAACTTGAGAGTTGTAAAACTCTCCTTACAACCTAACACAACAGAGTCTTGTCCAGTATAAACCATCTTATGTCCATCGGCAATAAGAATGTTCACCATTTGCACCAGCTAAATCTTCTGTCCTTGCATTGCAAGCTCTGTTTCTGCAAGAAATCTCACCAGCAGGTTTCATTACCAGTCAGGGTAAGAGCTCAAAAAAAAACCCCACCAGAACACTGCAGAAAGTGTATCTCATGACAGAGGCAATAGCACTCTATCCCAGTTTCAGATTTAATCCAGACCTAAACTAGCATTGGAGTCATTATACAGAAAAGCAGGACTTACGGGCAGATTCCTTGTTCTGGAGTAAGTGAGTAGCCAGTGAAATACTCAGCTTCTAGTTTGAATGGAGCACTGATTCCAGTGTGATTGGTAAGAATTAGCTGACGCTTTACTATGGCTTTGAATGCAACTTCAGATCCAAAGTCCAAGAGAAGATCACACTGACTTTGTGGCATTTGTCTTTCATCACTGTCAGACAAAATTACATTCATATTAAAGCATAAGTCTTATTTTCTTATGCCACAGGTAATTTTGGTAGTTTTAAAATGTGCTACATGCAACGTGGTTGTGATGAAGCGCGTCTAAGGACCATGCAGCCTATGATTTTTGTCATCAGCATTTACTGCTTTTCATTTTTTCACTTCTATTCATGTAAAGGTTTATTTTGGGTAAGATATTTATCACATGTATAACATATGCCAACCTACCAAATTAAAGCCATTTTTTCTTATTTAACAATATATAAAGATAAGCATAATCCAAAAGACAGTAATGATGCTACATATCAGAAAAATAAAATAAGAATCAGTCACATATACCAAGGTAGAGTGAAGTATACTCATCTTTCTTTAACATTATGTCTCACAGTGCAACAGCAAAACTTAATGGTACAAAATACAGGGTCTTGGGTATAATTCTGTAAACCTAAATTCACATCTAAGAGTTGAATTCGCAAACTTTTGACATTACAGAAAATAGCTGTTACTCACAAACATGGGAGAGACTTCAGAGCCCCCACTCTTAAGTTACCAGGGAGAAAGATAATTTTTCCTGCTCTTTATACACAAAAGCACAAATTACCAGTTTCCATGGCAAGTGCCAGGAGCATAGGGGAGAACAGACACAAAACATGAACATGAGTTCTCCTAATGTGCAGTTGTGCAGTTGACTTCACACTGATCTATGATTCATGATTTAATGAATTCACAGTTGCTAACTGAATTTGTTTCAGTTAAACACTGGGGAGCAGTGCTGTTCTCCAGTGTTCTCTTGAGCTTATGAAGATGATAAATTTGTCTAGGGTGTAAACCTACTACCTTTTCTTCACATAGTCACCTTCAGTGACTTTTCCCAGCACATTTTACTATCCTTGCTGCCCACAGGAGGAATGACATTTAAATAGATAAGTGTTTCCCCTCTCGCCATTGTGTTTTTGTTTTAGGAAGAAGTAATTTTTGTTCAGTTTAGGGCAAACCCTTGATTTACCTGGCAACTCCACTGTCAGAAGGTACTGCATAGGTGACATGCAGGCCTTTTACTTCTCCAGAAATGCTCAGAAGGAGGGGTTCAATCATATCTTCTATGCTACAGGAAAGGGCAAGATCTTTCAGCTCACCCTGAAAGGCAAAGAGTCAAGTTTCCTTCCAAATGAAGCAAATGCCACAGAGGAAAGGCAGCTTTAAGAAACTTATTTAGAAAATGTGTATAAACGTCACTGGTTTGAAACAAGAACTTTAATAGAATTGGGAAAAGTTTTACTGAATCAAGTGCATTTTTCTGCCAGCATCAGAGTTGCTTGGAAAGCAGTAACAAGGTAAGAATATTTGTGGTTGTTTCTTGGCTTTGCACCTACATGAGTCTATAAGCCTGAAAGTACTCCATTAGTGATTTTTGACACAATTCCCATATTGCAAGTGTTGCAGATCTAAGCATTAATTGCTTCTGGTTATGCTTAAATCGTCTTCCAAACTCAAGGTTTTATTTCTACCTGGGTTTAAAGCATGACTTGTAGATTGAGTTATGTGACCCAATCTCTGGCCACAGGGCAGAAATGCTCTTTCAGATGTCCAGTGTGTCCTATTGAGCTTCCAGCTTTCTATGAAGAAGGCTTACATTTACTGAGATTCTATGCTCCATATGCCAGACATGGGTATCTGGGATCTGCTAGGGCATCTCTGATAGTACTGAACACCTACTTTTAAGCTAATAAATGAAACTTACATCTCCAGTAACTGTAATGGGAACTAATACACTATACCTTTAGGAAGCTCCTTTATTTAGTTGCTTTAATTCAGGCCTATGGCTGAAGTCCTGAAGTTTGTAACTGCAGTCTGTGCCCTATTTTGTAGACACTCCGTCCCATCAGCCCCTTTTAAATTTTCACATCGAAATGTTATAAGGCCAGCTGCATTCAGAAAACCAAATGCATTATAGATAAGAGTACACATCTCAAAAGACAAACAAACCCAAACAGGCTGGATGGAGCTTTGAGCAGCCTGGTCTAGTGGAAAGTGTCCTTGCTCAAGGCAGTGGGCTTGGAATTAAATGGCCTTTAAGGTCCCTTCCAACCCAAATCATTCAATGGTAATATCTATGCCAGTCTTCTCCATTTCATTTGGAATAACCCAAAGTGAGGATCTGTATGCTCCAAGAAAAAAGATAAGCATTAGGAGTAACTGAATAGGCATTCAAGAAAGCAAGAAAACCAGAACAGCTGAGAAAGAGGCAGGGTAGAAAAATGCACACCATGTGCATTGCTTCAATTCTTGTCTTCAACCACAGTACTTCTAGGCAAAGCAGTTTCAGAGATACTGTACAGAAGAATTACCATTATGCTTTGTATATAGAAATCCTTCCTTTTGCCAGATGGAGCCAAGATGAGAATTACAGTATTGCTGTTTTGATAAAAGAGCATCAGTTTTTAAACCTACCATGATGTTAGCTGACAGCTCTATGCAGAATTCTTTTTCTTCATTTGGGCCTAAGGTGCCACTGGCTGGGGAGACAGTGGCAGAGCAGAAAGCTGCCTGACTTCCAATGAGCTGCCAAACAGAAAGGATAGACATTCAGCTGACTGATTTAATCTTCAGATCAAAGAAGACGGAAAGACTGAGATATTGTCAGGTTTAGGACACTTTCAGGTAGCAACATAAATAGTTTACTGAGGCTTGCTTTACAATTCCCTTATGGTTAATAAAATCCTTATATCTACATTCATTCCAAATAACTTCAGCTGCCCAAATGAGGCATCTGGGCTGGAAGCAAAGTCACTGCTCTTCCTCTCAGTCACAAGCTTTTCCAGGGTGAAGTCAACATGTCTGGTATTGGAGCAGGATCCTAGAGGTGCCCCATCTCTCCCAACTGACTGAAGAGGTGACCTACAAAGACAGTCCTGGTGACTGAGTGACTTAACTGCACATGGCACGAAGCCAGGAGTTACTCGATTGCTCACACATTAACATCAGACACCATGTAAAATGCTGTGGATATTCCTCCTAGGCTCCATCTGTTCCAAAGGTTTTCCTATAGGTCGTATATCATCCACATGATCTGTTAGGACCCCTTGGGCACCTGAGGACATCCTGGATGGTGCTGAATGTTTTTATGTAGGCAGCTGAGCTGAACCTTGGATGTCAGAGTAGATCTGACTGACCAAGGCACTGACAGTAAGATTCAGCTTACAAAGTCGATTAACTATGTGTAGTGGGTGTCAAGGCTGCCATTGTAGCCAACATACACCCCATTAGTATGTGCTAGAGAGCATTCTGCAGACCAAAGTAGGTGTCCATTTTACCAAATACTTCTCTGAACTCCATTGACTGTATAGATGAGATAGGATTCAGTTGTTTAAACACAGGCACAGAGGGTAGCCAAGCAATACATGCATGGCTGGCTGATGTGACAGGAGTCACAAGAGAACACATTTCTTGAGTGAGACCTGGAGGTCAGGGATAGCACTCTGCAGCACTCAAAATGGCACTAGACATACTTGTTTTGGTGACCAACTTCCTGCTGATATTTCCATTGACTAAGAATAGAGTTCAGATCACATCTTACATAGAATCATAGAATAGTTAGGGTTGCAAAGGACCTTAAGATAATCTAGTTCCAACTCCCCTGCCATGGACAGGGACACCTCAACTAAACCATGCCAGGGGGGTTGGAACTAGAGGATTTTAAGGTCCTTTCCAACCCTAACTATCCTATGATTCTATGTCAGCCAAGGCTCTGTCCAACCTGGCATACCGATATTAAATTTTGGGGTCCTAATCTGAGAGATGAATCTTAATCAAAACTTAGACACAATTTAAAAGGACCATTGTTTCTTTGCTCTACTAAATTAAATGCAAACCCTAAATTGCCACGGTGCTTTGTTTAATACTCTGGCAGCCTACATCCTATTTCCAATCACATTTCTCCCCACCCATTCTCCCAGGGATGACCCCCAAACAGTGAGAGTATATTGACATCAATCTTTCATCAAGGCTGGTCTCAAACTGAAGATTCACTCATAAGCAAGTAAGCAGCAATCACTATTCAAAGATAGATCAGAAAAACTTTTAAGAGTAGTCATTATTTGTATTTTGATAGAAATTGCAATTTCCATCCCTGCTGTATGCCTCATCCATTAAAAGAACATTTACCTTGCCCCATAAGTATTTTGCTGGCAGCAGTCTCTGGTTAAAAAGCTTGCTGGTTCCTTTGGCAGGAACTCCAGTATAAATTTCGGTGAACATTAGATGACTAGATATCAGGCATGCTTGGGGGGCCTGAACTTCAACAAAAACAGGAAGGTGACTGGAAATAAACACACAGATGGTCTATTGTTATTGCTAATGAGATGTGCTAGACATGCAACAGCATGCTGGGAAGAATGACGATTACATTTATTTAGCAATATTAGTGATTGGATAGTTCATTGATACACAACCCCACTCTGAGTTTCTCCTACCTATTTTTGTTTTAAGAGATAAAACTACCTAAAGTAAAAATCACAAGTGAATCTCAAAAAGAAAACAAAGCAGAGCAACACTTTTTCCCCTTACCTTCCTTCTCCATTTTCTACCTCTAGCTCTAGTACAGTGTGGAGACGCTGGCACCGCAATGATGTGAACTGAACTGACACAGTGCATATACCCAAAGGAGGTATTTCTCCAGCAGATGGTTGAATGGTAAATGGAGATACCTAGGAGAGGAGAGAGGAAACAGAAATGTCTTTGATGTCTGCATAGCAAGCATAAAAAGCTGAAGCCACACAATCTGATTAGGAGTTGCATGTGTTTAGCTGTTCCTCAGACATGTCCTTTCTCTCTGCCCCTGGAGTCCCATCTGGGTTGATTTCAGCAAGCACAGTGCCAACTTTGTGAAAATCTGGCTAGACAGGGAGGCAAGACTTTGCTTCTATGGGGACAACTAATAAAAAAGCAATGACCTAAGAGAAGGGTAGTCAGAGCTAAGGGCATAACAGCAATGCCTGTGCATGGTGTGAGGGGGAACATGAAAGAGAAGCAGTCAGCAGCAGTCTCCTCTCAAGCGGAGGGGCAGAGCAGCAGCTATGCAAGGTGCCACAGGTTGGGAAGATTCTTGGACAGAAGGTCAAGGAAAGAAGGCTGTAAGAGTAGAAACAGAAGGAGCACCAGTGTGGGGTGGAGGCTAAAGAGGTTCAGGAAAGCAAAGAGGCAGCTCTTACGCAGAAGGAATCTATGCACTTGATCTATGAGCTCTACTGAGACACTGACGGATGGGCTTTGGGATGACAAATTCAAGAGATAAAAGTCTGAAATCTCTCTGGGGTTCAGGAAATTGTTTGGAATGACAGGGACAAAGGGAATAACAGTGGGAAGTAAGGGCTTGAGGACTGTGGGGACAGGGTCTTCTCCAGAACACACCTATCCCTAATCAAGCAGTTCTGATTTTAATTGTTTTGGGGAAAAGGGATAGACATACACATATTTTTCAAGGCTGCCATAACCACCATTCATGAATCTTTTATTTTTGCCATCAGCTTTCACCCAAAGTTGGGAGATATCTACATGATACGTAGAAAATCAAACAAAGCTCAAGAAGTCATGGGGATACAGTACAACTTCTTGCAGGTTTCCAGCTCCTGATGGCTGATAGAAGTTCCTGCTTGAAAAGCTCCTCTCTCCATTGCAAATGAAACCAAAAAAACAGAACATCTGAACAGGATCTAGACCAATTTTGCCATGAAGCAAGTTACTTCATTTCCTTTCATGGGCATGTCCACAGGCAGAATTTTGCCTTTCATTATAACAAAAAGCACTTACCTAGAGTCTGAATTTCCCCATGCCCCTTTAATGGATAACATCAAGGAGAAACCCAGCTACAGAGCTCACTTTTTCATGTGCACCACAAATAGTAAAAATACCCTCACTCAATACTTTGCCATAAGTATTACCTTCAAGATGCCCAAGTTATTCAGTTATTTCGTATGAAATGGTGGAATTAGCTCTCGTGTCAAAGACTGGAATGGACTGCATTTGACACGTCACAGTCTAGGTAATGCTAAACAATAGTTATAGTATTTGTTGTGATAAGAAGTTATTTGGGGACACACCTGCATATTCCAAAGCTATTATTTAAAGCCAAAAGGCCCAATTCACTAGGTGCTGAGATTCTTGTCCAAGATGTAGGTGTGCAGGAGAAGTGTTTAGCAGCCTCAGTTCTGATAAAGTCTTACCCTTTTATTTATACCAGTAGCAGCTGAAATCATTGTCATAAAGAAAACATTCCATGTCTCTTTGGATCAGGGGATTTGTAATAAATGGAAATAGAGAAAATTTCAAAGGAACATTTAATCTCAAAAGAACTTATGTATTTATGGAACTGTGCGCATCCAGTTTCATAAGAAGTCACAGAAACTATAAATTTTGATATCTGAAATGAATATTGTAACTCCTGATTATAAGGAAGAACTAGCTAAAGAAGGAGCATAGCCAGCTATAGTAGTAACTTACCTTTTCATTCCTTTCAGCTAAACAAACCTTGCTTTCTTGCATACTCCATTGTGCTGGCAGCTGACATTGGTTTTGAATCTTAAAGGTTTGTAACACACTCTCACCCTGCTTAATCAAACCTAACTGGAGTGATGGAACATCAATATGAAGAACTGGACCCTAGGACACAAGGAAACAGATGTCAGAATGGACTTCTGACAAAATTGCCTAATTAAGAAAGATACGTTCTTAAAGATTAACATTCAATTTCACAGGGAACAGCAGAAAGCAAATGCATTGCATGTAATGCAGAAAAGTTGTTATTGTCGTGGAAGTATCAACATTGCCTCAATAGTTACTAGACAACAAAAATACCTCCTGTTTGTAAATGCTCTAGATTTGTCATGCCTTTAGGAGGCAAAAAGCTGTATATAGACAATGGCCAGGCCCCATAGCTAGTTATCCTGCAACACTGAACTTGCATACCTTAAAAGCAGCCTCAACATGCAGCACAACAGGCTCTGTACAGGATTCAATTTTACACTGCAGGTTATGGCTGATGGACCCAGGTTTGCTTCCAGTAATTAGCAGTTCAAATTTACAGCATTTATTCACATCTAGAAAAGAAAAGTTCAGGATCCTGCCTCACCATTTTTGCATAGAGAAAGAAACAACATGCTGCAAACCTGTTCTTGAAGCTCCTGGAAACAAATTAAGTCTCCTTCTGGATCCAGCTGCACTATAGTGCTCTGTGATTCTTCCACTCATACCAATGTAAGTATTTCTGTCATTAATTGTTGCTTACAAGTCTCAGAAACTTTACCTATGATGCCAGTACAAGGTTCAACTTCCATGATGTCACTGGACACAATTTTCTCCCATGTGTACTTGATCAATGATCTGCTGTTATTCCACATCTAAAAGTCAATGAGACAATTAATGTATTACAAGCTGCAAACAACGTATTTCAAGTCTCACATGGCACACTTTGCGAACTCTAGCCATATGCTCATCACCACTAAACAATACAACCTAATAATACACCTTGAATCTAGCTACAAAAATGGCACATAGTGGGAGTGGAAAGGCACAGAACTTCACCTAACCTCTGATTTGAACAGTACTAACCCAGTGCCTTGCCATGTTATTTTCATGATAATGCTGTGTCCTCCTTTTCCTTTCTCCTTTGATGTAAAACAATGACAAGTAGAAGTGGGATTCACCTGACTGGATTTCAGGTGTCTGCAAAATAGATGCAAGAGCTACACTTGACCTCATGTCCTAGGATTCCTTTTACTGAAAATAAAGCCCACTAGTGAGTGCTGGGAGCAATTCCTCCAACCTATTTTAACCTATAGGGTGGGATCAATCACCACCTGGATGCTGCTAATGAGATCTCTGGGGACTAAGGTGGCTCAGATGTGGAGATCTATCCCGAAAGCACTATGTGTAGTGAGATTATACAGCACTATATTTAGCACAGTGACTATCTTCACCCAGGTGAAGGTGTTTTCTGAAATCTGAAGAAAATCCATTCTTTCCAAGGACATTTTCATATTTGAAGCCTTTTAAACTTTTACCCCATTTTTCAAAAGTGTAGCAGAACTTCTGAACTTAAACTTTACATCTTTCTTCTAAGAGCAGCCTTTTTTTTTTGCTGAAGGATCTGTTTGTGAGGGAGCTGTAAGCTCTCAATATCTTTGATTTGCTGTTCAGAGCTATTCAGATATTATTTCTTAATTACATCAAGTAACATTGGTCTCTGAAGCACAATTATCTCTAAGCACAGCTTAAATTCTTCTAAGACTAAAAAACCAATTGGAAACCATGAGGAATCTCATTATATAATCAGTAAATGACTTAATTACCTATACCACACATGTAGCTACACTGGATAAATGGGAAGTACAAAATGGGTGTCTTAGGTTGAAAAAGAAGTTCTTGGAAGAGAGAGGATAAAACTAAATTCCAGTTAGCAGTATCTTTTAGAAAAAATGGGAAGACCATTAGGTGAGAAATGTCTTCTTGCCTGGCTCCAGCTAACAGGCCTATTTTTCACAAACAAGTTCAAGATTAAAAGGATCCTGATATAGTGAAAAGGACACTGAGCAAGTGGAAAATTGCAGCAGTAATCTGTCCCATAATAGGACAAGTGGAATAAGGCCTAGTAATCTGCAGCTTTTGTGCCTTTTGTAGCTCTTCTGTGTTTTCAATAGTTCTTTGCACGAACAGTACCTTTGTTATGAGGTAATTTAATCATCCATTGGCTATTCCACCCAACTGGAACACTTTTACACTACAGGAGTGACAAAGTGATAAGCAACAGGTTAGTGACCCAGAAAAATATTTTGAAGGGTAAAACTCTGTGGTATCACACTTGAGAGATGAAGAAAGACGAAAGCCTGCTGCCTGGAGTGTAGAGCTAAGGAGGCTTGCTAAGGGATTTTAGTACAGACATTCCTGGAGTCGTGGCTTGTCTTAAAAATACTTAAGAAACTAAAATAACATGGATTGTCTGATCTCTTCTAATAACACCTATGACATCTAGTGACACAAAGCACACGATAACAATGAAGTCAAAAGCAAATAAACCTTAAATGTTTTCCTGATGTTTACACCAATAAAGTTTTCCCCAGGGATGATAATGGCATATGGTTCCAGAAGAAGATTAAATGCTTCTGTTAGTCCTTTAACTTCTATTCCCAGTGCTATTACATCCTTTGTTTTGTATTCTGGGGTATTTTGAAGCATCTCATCTTTTACTAAACTGTAGGAAGAAATATGGTAGAATTATTAAGCATCTTAAACTGGTGCTCAAACTGGATTCCCTTTTTTAATTGTCAGATCAAAACTAAAATCGTCAAAAGTTTCTCAAGTGTAAACTGCTCAGTCTGCAGTTAGCTCAGGCTGGGACAATTGAAAACTGGAAAAAATACAGTCGTTCAACATACTCTAGTTTTCCCAGTCTGTTCATGAATAAGTATATAAGTCACAGACAGCTGTGAAAAACGGTAATAACAGGAAAACCTGCTGGAAATCTCAGCAGAAAGCCTGGAATATGAACAGAGAAAATTACTTTTTCCAGGAGAGGTGCAGCCCTAACTAGGGCTAAGGCCTGTGTTCAGACATGAGATCACATAGATGCTTTGTGCCACAATTAGTTGTGTAGATAAAACCCCTTGTTACTATGAGTCCATCATCATCAGAGATGTAATTTATAGCTTAATGTAATAGCATAGCTAAAATGTGGCTAAACATTTTATTAAGGAATACTGTTTCTCAGCTTACCAAGGTGATTCTGGGATGTCCACCAGTACCATCTGAATCACACTGTGATAACTCTTCAGCTACACAGATGAAGGAGAAGGGGATCTTAATGTGAAGTAATCAATTATGTTGAGGATTAAAAGAAGATCAGAGAATCAGAGAATCATAGAATCACATAACAGTTTGGGTTGGAAGGGAATTTAAAGCTCACCTAGTTCCAACCAACTGCCATGCGCAGGGACACCTTCTACCATACCAGGTTGCTCCAAGCCCTGTCCAACCTGGCCTTGAACACAGCCAGGAATGGAGCAGCCACAGCTTCTCTGGGCAACCTGTGCCAGGGCCTCACCACCCTCATAGGGAAGAACTTCTTCCTAATATGTAATATAAATCTTCCCTTTTTCAGTTTGAAGCCATTCCCCCTTGTCCTATCAGTGCAGACCTGTGTAAAAAGTCCCCCTCCAGATTCCTTGTAGGGCTCCTTAGGCATTGAAAGCTAAGGTCTCCCTGGAGCCATCTCTTCTCCAGGCTGAACAAGCCCAGTTCTCTCAGCCTATCTCCACAGCAGAGATGCTCGAGCCACCTGATCATCTTTGTGAAGTCCTCTGTACTCACTCCAACATGTCGATGTCCTTCTTTTCTTGGGGGCCCCAGAGCTAGGGGGTCTCATAAGAGAAGACGAGAGGGAGATAATCACCTCCTTCAACCTACTGTTCATGCTTCTTGTGATGCAGCCAAACACAGTTGGTTTCTGGGCTGCAAGCACACACTGCTGGCTCATGCTGAGCTTCTCATCAACCAAGATGCAAAAGTAGCTTACATTTAAAGGATGAAAGCTCATCATTGGAGTACTAAGGTCTGATAAACAGTATTCAAACTCCAGAGTTACTAAAACATGTTTGACTCCAAAATATTAAGCCAGATTCTGAGCTCATGGTGTATGTATGGTTCCAAGAAAAATATTAATTTTTGACATGCCTGTTATTATTTCCCTAGTATATTGCATACTATACACAAGCATCTGCAAAGGCTCCCCAGATTAAGCTCAGTACTGCTGTACTAACTCAAAGTTTCTTCTACTCTTCCATCATGGGAAAAGAGATGTCTTCTATATTCTAATGGGGGGGGGGGGGGGGAAGGAAACAGAAGCAGGCCTTAAATCTGAAGGGCTCTGCAAAAGGCTTAGTTTGTAGAGAGATTGATTAAAGTGCATATGTTAACTCAATGTATTTTTCTATGAACTAATTAAAGCATTTAAAATACCCAATTAGCTTCTCTTTCATACTTATTTGATGTATTCCTATGCCTGTCAATCACCACAGTATGGGATATTCCCACTCTTGGGCTTACTTTGGACTAAGTTCCTTTAAATACAGTGAGCTCATGCTCTTTATTTACGCAGACAGGAGAGCAGAAACTAGGACAACAGTCACTGGTGCAGCTGCTTTCAAACATGGTTGCACCCCTTTATGCAGACCTGCAAGCTATCATTTCTCTGCCAAAGGCTACTACTATCCTCATGATTTACCACACAGCTATTCACAGGACCCAGTTCAACCCCCGAAAGCTACAGCTGGCAATAGTTTGAATAATCAGTTTGCTAACCAAACTTCCTTACACTGCAGTAGGTACAGGGCACATTGCCAGTGCAGCTCATTCAGCAGAAGGGAAAGGTCAGGAGATTGTGGAGGAGCTGGTAGTGGGGTGAGGGTGGCAACTTTACCAGCAAACACAGCTGCAGTGATGAGGATGTGGCCACAGTTCCAGTGTAAAATTAATTGTGTCAAGTCAGTACCAAAAATGACCAAATGAGACCAGAAACTGTCTCAAATTTTGCAGTCAAAACATGTTTTCTTTTAGTAACTTTCTACATTGTGAACACTGTTTATCAGAGCATAGTACCAGCTAATTAAATTTCATTTAGAAAGCTGCACAGCAAGGATTTTATGACTTGCATAAAAATACACAGCTGGAGTTTGTAGATAAGAAGGAATCACAAGCCATACCTCCTGTGGAGTGTAAGTGAGAATAAACTCATGATCTGTACAGGGAAACAAAACTCCCTCCTCAGGATCTAGGAAGAAGGCCGACTCTGTGTCTTGGTTGTATTTGACCTTTGTGAAGTCTGTAGTTTCTTCTGGTACTAATGGTTTCAGGTTGGGCTTCATTATCTGCCAGTAGAAAGGAAGTTCTACTTGGCTGCAGAGAGATCAATAAAAAACAAAAAAGCTGTGATTAAAAAATCTGATATTTGAGTACAATATTAAGAGAAAAATTCAAGGTCCTATTTCCATGCAGGTAATTCCTCTCTTTAAAAATTACAGGGATTAGATTTACCAGTCTTTATGAGCTACAAAGCTGATGAGGCAGCATAGAGTCAGAACATGCTAATATATGGAAGTAAATTATGTAAACATTTAAGATATGTTAACACTTTCTTGCCTTATTTAACCTGCCATGTAATGCAACTTTTAGGAAGTTCCACAATTCTTTCAAAGAATCTGAGAGCAACAGAATCATTCCTGCTGATGCAAGTATGTTTGTACTGGATCACTGCTGATGATCTATATAACATTCTGAATTTAATCCAAGTGCAAGATACGGTCTTTAAGATGTTAACACAGTGGCTTCAGCTAAGGTCATAGCAATGGCTCTGCAATAATCTCTGTAATTCAGAAAAGGTTGCTCAAGTAGGTTGCTTCCGTAGAAATGTATTCTATGGAATGTCTTCATGGGTTTTAAAAACTTGCTCAAGCTGACCCCAAAAACTTTGCCTTACTAAGGGGAGAAAGGATACTGGAATTTGAAGGTGAGTATCAGTTACAAAACTGAGCACATACAATTTCTTGTATCACTTTCTATAACAGTAAAAAGTTTTCTTTTTCCTGCTTCTATGGAGTTCAGTCGCAGCCTGCCCATCTTTGTTCATACAGATGCTGACACCAGATGTGCAGGGACTGCTGTCATGATTATAGCACAAAGAATATGTGGAAATCAGCATAGTCACATCCTTCACCAATTTACATCATCCAGTTCACCAAATCACACTTTCTTTACCCAAATAGCATTCTGTTCTGGCATTATGCATGTGTGTTTTCCAGGCAGAAAAAAAGCTAAACCCAATAAACAAAAACCAACAACAAAAACTTCCAGAAATTCAAGAAGGAATTTACATGAATATATCTAAAACCAGCACTGACCTCCCCTCACTGTTTTGATAGTCTACAGCCTCTAACTACTATAATCATGCACATTAGTGTACTTCTATTATTGTGCAACTGATTTGGATCAAATTGGTATGCCACTATGCTCCATGCAATGTAGTTGTACATAGAGACATATTCCTTGATTTCAAATAGAATTTGTATTTAAACCTATTAGGACTCAATAGCAGGAATAACGTGTAAATTTTAATGTCAGCTAGTTACATTGGACTCCAATTTTAATCAGTGGAGATCCAGTGGAGTCCAAAATACATTATTATCTCATTCTATGAGAGATGTCTACATTCAGAATTGGATTCTCAGAAGCATCTATTTCCCTGCACTATGAAAGGAAAAGAGTATAGAGTGCTTAGCTCAGTAACCCAAGTATACATTGTACGCATGAAAAGTTAGATAAATCTCACCTGGATCACCCTGTTAAATATTTCCTACAACTATCTATATTTATAAACCTTTTGGAGTTGCAGATTCATTTATATGGAAGCAAATATATTGACCTTGGCATTGTATGAACTAAATGGTATTGCTAATGGTTGCCATAACATGTGTTCTCTGTATATGTTTCTGCTTTTACAAACATATCCTTAAGCCTTAATTGCTAAATAATGGAGCAAAAGGAAGCAAGGCTTCTGTACAACAGCTATCAAGTGCATGAAGGTTTCTCCAGCTTGAGAGAGTGTGGTATCACAAATGAGGTCCTAGCCAATATTTTTAGACTGTAGAGCATTATTCTGTTCTATGTTTAGACTACAGAGCATTATTCTATTAGCAGTAGCTACATACGTAGAGTTTCTTATAACCAGTTTCTTCTCCTTGGTGGTATGTGGGTTTTGGGGGTCAAATCGTATGAAATGCTGTGCTGTTGCATCAGTAGCTTCATCAGCTTTGGGTTTGCTTTCTCCACCCGTGACAAATAAAAGCTCCAGAGCTATCAGCTGTCCGACACCTTGAAGAAATAAATAGGTATTAGTGTTTACCATGTGGCTATCAACATTGTTCAAGTTACTCATTAATGGCCATTTCTGGCATTTGCTATTATTGATAGCATTGTTTCCTCAAATTTCAGAACCCCAGGGTGATAATCATCCAATATTTTCCTGGTGTTCTTTGTTTAACAACATATATCAGTACAGATCTTCTCTTCACACATTTAACAGATTCGGATTTCAGGGTCACAATCTCAGCTCACTTACATCAGCATCCTTTCACTGAAGTAAGCAAGGTGTTTACAATGGTTGATAACGTTCTGAGATGACCCAGATGTTCTGATCAGCATATTAAGATAGAAATAAGCAGCAAAATGTACTACTTAAAAAATGAGAAAATACATGTAAGAGTGATTAAATAGATGACAAGTCAAGCGTAATATTTTAGCACTCCGAGTTACATTACAGGACAAGCACTAAAATTTACAAGAATTTCAACTGGTTTTATTAACTAATCCAAAGACTGCCTCTCTTTCTCCTGAATACCCTAATCCAAGATGTGCCTCAATTTTACTTCACAGCCAGATGTATTTCTGCCTTGTTAAAACTGATGCTTTATAGTTTGACATGTTACTGGTACAAAGTCTAAGAAATCAATTGCACCTGACAACATGTTTTCTTTTGTGTTAGAAAATGACCTGGGGAATTACAGACCAGTCAGTCTCACCTCTGTGCCTGGTAAAATCTTGGAGCAGATTCTCCTGGAAGGCATGCTAAGGCACATGAAAATCAACAAGGTGCTTGGTGACAGCCAGCATGGCTTCACTAAGGGGAAATCCTGCCTGACCGATTTGGTGGCCTTTTATGATGGGGCTACAGAACTGATGGACAGCAGCAGAGCAGTTGATGTCATCTACCTGGATGTGTGTAAAGTGTTTGACACTGTCCCACAGAACATCCTTGTCTCTAAATTGGAGAGACATCAATTTGATGGATGGACCACTCGGTGGATAAAGAACTGGCTGGATGGCCGCACACAAAGAGTTGTGGTCAGTGGCTCAATGTCCGGCTGGAGACCAGTAATGAGTGGTGTCCCTCAGGGACCGGTGTTGGGACCGGTCTTGTTTAACATCTTCGTCGCTGACATGGACAGTGGGATTGAGTGCGCCCTCAGCAAGTTTGCCGATGACACCAACTTGTGTGGTTCGGTTGATACGCTGGAGGGAAGGAATGCCATCCAGAGGGACCTTGACATGCTTGTGAGGTGGGCTGGTGCCAACCTCATGAAGTCTAACCATGCCAAGTGCAAGGTCCTACACCTGGGTCAGAGCAATCCCAGGCACAGCTACAGGCTGGGCAGAGAAGAGATTCAGAGCAGCCCTGTGGAGAAGGACTTGGGGGTGCTGGTCGATGAGAAAATGAACACGAGCTGGCAGTGTGTGCTTGCAGCCCAGAAAGCCAACCGTATCCTGGGCTGCATCAAAAGGAGCGTGACCAGCAGGTCGAAGGAGGTGATCCTGACCCTCTACTCTACTGTTGTGAGACGTCACCTAGAGTTTTGTGTGCAGTTCTGGTGTCCTCAACATAAAAAGGACATGGATCTGTTGGAACAAGTACAGAGGAGGGCCATGAGGATGATCAGGGGACTGGAACACCTCCCACATGAAGATCGGCTGAGAAAATTGGGGCTGTTCAGCCTGGAGAAGAGAAGAATGCGTGGAGACCTCATAGCAGCCTTCCAGTATCTGAAGGAGGCCTGTAGGGATGCTGGGGAAGGACTCTTCTTTTGGGACTGTAGTGATAGGACAAGGGGTAATGGGTTAAAACTTAAACAGGAGAAGTTTAGATTGGATATAAGGAGGAAATTCTTTCCTGTTAGGGTGGTGAGGCACTGGAATGGGTTGCCCACGGAGGTTGTGAATGTTCCATCCCTGGCAGTGTTCAAGGCTAGGTTGGATGAGGCCTTGGGTGATATGGTTTAGTGTGAGGTGTCCTTGCCCATGGCAGGGGGGTTGGAACTTGACGTTCTTAAGGTCCTTTCCAACCCTAACTATTCTATGATTCTATTTTGTGACATTTTATATTTGGATTTTTGGCTACAGTAGGTAGCTAAAGAGCTCAGTGCTTTCTGAATACAGTGTACTTCATGTACTAGAATGACACAGTAATAATAATAATAAAGAAGTTCGGCATGTAACACCGTCCTGGAACAAAGTAGTTAATCCGATGACACAAAATATTACAATCACTTCAAGCCATCAGCCACCACTCACATTAACTGAATATATATGGTGTTAGAAATGTAACCTCTGAAAGGTGTTAGAAACAAACCTGTGACTGTAACATCACTGTCCTGGCAATTGTCACAAACAACAGTGTATGTCTGCTGTGAGACTTCTGGCAAAGAAGGAAAAAACATTACCTAAAAAGAAAAGTAAAATAGCAATGACTGTTACTGATTTCTCTCCAGAAAGAAATAAACTTAAATTCATAAACACTCACTAAAAGACAGTTCTAAAGATTAGTTATTAAATCTTACATTTACAAGAAACAGACAATGTCACAGTCCCTTAACACAAACCAGAAAGAAATAGGTGTTTTCCGGATCACTAAACTTACATGCACATGCCTGGATGATTGCCAGAGGCTGCCTTTGTAGTCCCTGGTGATGTGGGCAGTCTCCTGCCTTAATTGTATGAATTACACCCTTAAAGTTGGATCTGCCCTCAAACACTTACTAATACCACTGTTGCCTTTCAAGCTACAACAGTGTGAGCCGGATAACTGCTGTACACCCTCCCTAAGTTCCAACTTAACAAGAATGGTTCAGGTGCCAAAACCCCTAGCTGATTCTTCTATCTATTATCTGTTACCACCTGCAAACCCAACCCATCCTAATCTATCACCTCTTTCTCTCCCACCTCAGCCTGTTAAAGCAATGCACATGGGAAGACAGAGAGAAGGAGAAACATTTTTCCCTTATGAAGCTGCCTAACTCATTCCTCCCATCAACAGCCAGGAGAAACTAGTAAAAGGAAGGGATGAAGGCTAGCCATACTCTCCATCTCATTCTTCTCCCCATAGTGATCTGTAATAAAATGTGACCCACATCAGACAAAACAGTGGTGGCAACCGTTAATGCATACTTACTGCAGGTTCTTTTTAAGGGAAGAGCACATCATAAGTAAATGATTTGTACCTGTTAAATGAAAGATTTTTTTTTTTCTCCCTAAATATCCTTTTTTTCCCCAAGAAAGCCCAGAAAGGAAACTTTCTTGGACTTGATGCCCCAGCAGGAATGAAATAAGCACTCCTGAGTTCTCAGATTCCTGTTTCTCTAGCAGGATTCTTAGCATGGAGAAAATCTGACTGGTCTCTGAATGGCTAAGCAAGGTTTGGAAGTTCTGAGTAGCTAAGCAAGATTTGGGAGTTCCATGAAAGACTCTCCAGTAAGATTCACAATTGCAATTCTTTCAACATAATTGCACAAAAAGATTTAAGCTTTTTTTGCTCACACAAACCCAAATTCACAAATTCCAGCCAAGATCTTCTAAAATGATCTTGTTTGCTTACCTATTTGTTAAAGTACAAATAATTTCTATAGCAGTTGGTACTAACCTTTACTGTTGTATTCTGCCCTGGGGCTAGCTCAAGCACAGGAGGATGGATCCCAAAAGGAGCTTGTATCACAAAACCATCTGTAGCAATAGCCTAAGTTTTTTTTGTCGTTGTTGGGTTTTTTTTAAGAAAAAAAAAGGAAAGATTAAAAATTTAGATTGAATTTGTTGTTTTTAAAATACAAGATTACCTAAACCAGGCAGAATATTACTTCTCTGTTTTACCTCTTACCGTATTTTTTTTTTCACGTCTCTCAAAAGTATGCAGCTTATGTACATGGCTTGATTAGAAGAAATGCTGTATGTTTTATAATTACCTTGGTAAAAGCAGGAGGGAAGGTGCTGTCTCCAAAGACAAATGATAGTGTCAGAAGCCCTAATATTCATGCTCACAGAACAGCTCTGCCTGAGCACAGGGGCTTTGTCTGCTTCTCCAGCTTCTCCATGCTTATGACTCACTTTGAGTTAGAACTGTAAAGCGTGTCAGGAGGGACATCCTGGCACATCAGCTGTCACTTTAGCCTTTCTCCAGCGCATAAAATGCCAACCTGCCAGTTACATCTTATCTTTTTTGACACAGAATCATAGAATAGTTAGGGTTAGAAAGGACCTTAAGATCATCAAGTTCCAACCCCCCTGCCATGGGCAGGGACACCTCACACTAAACCATTCTACCCAGGGCTCTGTCCAACCTGGCCTTGATCACCTCCAGGGATGGAACATTCACAACCTCCCTGGGCAACCCATTCCAGTTACTCACCACCCTAACAGGAAAGAACTTCTTATATCCAATCTAAACTTCCCCTGTTTAAGTTTTAACCCATTACCCCTTGTCCTATCACTACAGTCCCTAATGAAGAGTCCCTGCCCAGCATCCCTATAGGCCTCCTTCAGATACTGGAAGGCTGCTCTGAGGTCTCCATGCAGCCTTCTCTTCTCCAGGCTGAACAGCCCCAACTTTCTCAGCCGATCTTCATATGGGAGGCTCTCCAGTCCCCTGATCATCCTCGTGGCCCTCCTCTGTACTTGTTCCAACAGTTCCACGTTCTTTTTATGTTGAGGACACCAAACTGCACACAATACTCCAAGTGAGGTCTCACTCCATTCATTCACACCTGTTACGTGATGGAAAGCTAAAGACTGCAGTACTGGAGTGGGCTGCAAGCTCTACAGGTGCAGCAACGTCAGTAAGTGGTATCTTTAGTGGGAAGGGGGAGGAAATCAGCTGAAGCAATGCTCAAACTGGTTGCATTTCTATTTGTATTAAGGGTAAAGTTAAAGTTCAAGCCAATTGTCTTTTCCCTGACCTATGGTTAAGTTTACCCTACCACTGAGCAAGAAACCTTCTTCCAGAGGCAAGACAGAGCACAAGCAGGAGGTATGGACATCCAGAGAGATTGGTATTGAGGACAAATGTGAATCCCTGAGGGAGTGGCAGTACCAGTGTCCTCAGCAAGGCCTTATGACTTCTGTACTAATATCCCATGACTAACTTGAAAGCCTTTGTCTCAGGGCAATGATACCATACCATGTCCATTATTTCCTTTCTAATCACTCACCTCAAAATTAGGAGATGGGTAGGCTTTCTTTGGCATTATAGAGAATTTTTCAGTTCTAGTTCCCTCATTTCTGCACAAAATCATCATTACTTTTATTCCTCCAACAAGGCAGGGACCACAGTCTATAGTATGAGGCACTGCAATGAATAACATTGAAAATCAGACTACACAGACAGTGAAGGCTTGCCAGCTGCTTCTTAAATAACTCTTTACAGACAACATTACTGCATATGAATATGCTGGGTGTTGCCATCCTAACCCCCTTCATATTCTTTCCATTTGAAAGTTGAACAGTATAAGGTGTATATTTCTACATATATTTTACATTTTAATGGTGCTTCCTACTTAAAGACTCTATTGAATGATAACAGAAAGTCTTTTTAAAACATGCTCGGTATAACAGGAAAAGTGAATTTAGCGAAAATCAAAGCAAGTTTCTGCAAAGGTCATCCTGGTTGGTAGAGCTGAAGCTAGAAATCTGAGAGTTGAATCCTGCAGGTATATAATAATTAATGAACATAATTAATGTAATATTTAATGAATATTAATTAATAGCATCAAATGTTTATAACTAAATCATAATATCTAAATGTTTAGGATAAGTAATTACAGTTAGGAATCCAGGAATCAACAAGACACAAACCCTGAAGTGGCTCCAGCTCACTCCTCTAATAGAAACACAAATGACTGAGGAAAAGTTTGTCAGGATTACATTTTCATAACTAGTCAAATTATTATGAGTGAAAATGAGGTAGATATCAAAACATAGAAACTGCACTGCCAAGTTTGGCCATATTTGTTTTGTGACATAAAATTGGAGGCAGTCAAATAAAAAAAATAAAAAAAAAAAAAAGAAGTCCTTTTAACCTCAGAGAAACTTAAGAATTGGACAGTACTGACATGTTAACACGGGAGGTGGTCTTTTAGCTTGGATCGGGATCAAAAGAGGTTGTGATACTTGAGTCTCCACTAACATACAGTCTTCATAATCTCCTGGATATTTAGGAGTAAATCGGACTGTATACTGGCATGTCATCCCAGGAGCAATCAGTCCTCCCTTTCCTGGAAATTTTCCTTTGGAAAAAAAAAAAAAAAGAATGCAAGGAATTGAAAAAAATTAAAACCTCCCAAAGTTGGCATATGCATTTATGATCACATCTCTTTCTGGAAAGGTGCCTGTAAACTCTCCCCATTTATTGCCTAAATCAAGCTGATAAAAATGAAAGACCACAGAAGACCTGTCAGTGTAATCTGTGTATGTGGATTATTTTTCCTTCAACTCAAAGAAGATTTTTGTGACTGAAATATGCTTTTCATAACTACAGAAAACAAAGTGAAGGGAAACCTAAAGAAATTACCAAGTTTTCCTTTACACAGGACAGCAAGGCTTACATGGGGGCATCCAACCTTTTCTAGATATTCCTCCAGTGCTGTAACTGAGATATCACAATCTCCTTAGGCAATCTGTCCCACTGCCTATCTATTGTACTATATATCTCCTAACCTAATCATCCTTAATGCAACTGAAGTATATTATTTCTTACCCTCTTCCCCATAGTGGAAACTATGTCTGTTCTTAGATGCATTTTGGATTAAGACTCAATCTAGGTATTCTATGAATACATTTCAACCTAACTTTGAAAAAAATAATGTAAGTTTGTCTTCCTGAATTCCCTATTAGACCATTTGAATCTGCTTATGAGTTGCATGTGAATGGTCCTAAAGACATTAAGTCAGCCTTCAGTTTCTAAAGAACTGAGCACTATAGATAGCAGAAGTAAACAAAACATCTCTGGAAAATCTTTGTTCAAGCTGATAAGCTGATAAATTAGATCTCTTATGTGTTAACATCTTAAAGGCAGTAAAAGGAATGATTACCTGGCCCAATGGCAAATGCTGAAGTAGAGGGAGGGATAACTCTTACATAATGACATGTTGAAGTGATGTTCTGCAGCTCTATAGTCATCTTCATTTAAAAAGAAAACAAAATACTCTATTATATTTATCATCACTCACTGTAATGTTTGCAATTCCTTGGTTCTCCACTAGTAGTAACTAATTTATTATCACAACCAATCTAAAAGCCTCAGCTTATTCAATAAAGGCTGAATCAGATACTACCAAAACAAAGCAGAGACTGAAAAGGTCCCTTTTACTTTTCACTAGTTAATGTGTCAGTGGCATGTGTGAAAGAGTATCTTCAAGGAAGCGATAAGGTCATTAATTCAATATAAAGAAGAAACTCAGACTTTTGTTAAATTGCAGGAAGCCAAAAGGTTGGCTGAGATACATAGATTATGGCAGGACATAATGCTCCTTAGCAGCAGAACTAGCTCTCTACAGAGAAGTAAGTTCTCACCTCATACACCTGGCCAACTTCATAATCAGAAAACATAACAGTAGGTGGATTGGCAAGAAACACAGGAACAAATGAGGTATCTCTGAAAGAGAAAAAAAAAGCTGGAGACATTACCTTACTGCCCAGTTCTTTAAATATGGATACAATGGGAAATTGCAAAATGTATCCCTTAGTAATAACAACATATCATACAGACATACTTTGTTTCCTAAGTGACAACATCATAGCTACTTAGCTCAAATATCTACTTGTAAATCCACAGTAATTCTATGGTGGAGTCTCTCTGTGTACTCCAGCTCAGAATCAAGAAACAGCATATACTGCGTACCCTTTATCATCTTCTGCTTTCTTTCTGGCTATGGCTTGTTCCACCTTTCCTTGAGAAATGAGAAGAGATTTGCCTCCATGAAGAGAATTCGGTGGGAAAAAGCGAGGGTTCTTCAAGTAATTCTGCCTTTTCTCAAGTTTGGCAAGGTAAGCACGCTCACTTTCTCTCTCAGCTTTGCACTTACTGTCTTTCCAGGCCAGCTTCTGTGAGGCACTAGTTTTCTTTGAAAAACAAAGAGATCGTGTTATAAAAATAAACATGGTAATTTTGAGGATGATGATAAAGGTATCTGTACATGTACAATTAAAGCTATACAGCATGGAAAATTCATACTAAATATTGTGTTTCACTTTTCTTAAAAGATCAAATAAGTACTGGAGCCAAATCAACTAATGCATTGATATTCACCCTTTGTTACAGGAACAGCAATAGAACTTATAGTTCTAACAGACTAAAACAGACCTGTAAAATGTACCTTACTTATGTTTTTAGTCTGGTGGCTAGAGTCTGGAGTTGAAAGAAGAGTTAATGTGCTTAAAGACACATTTGGCAGTCTACCAGGTGTTTTCTGTAGATGTACAATCTCTGCAGGCATCTGGTCCCACAAGCGTGAAGAAACACGCTGTTTAAAAGCAAAAGTCTCTTTGATATAGCCAGGCTCTGATTTTCCTGCAATTCAAAGAAAAAATTAAGTCTATAAGAGAAAAAAAACATGAATTATAAGCACTTATTCTAAGTGTATGAACTTATTCTAGTCTTATTGATGGCAAAAATATACTTTAAATCCTCTAGAATTTATTTTAAATTTATAATATATTTTGCACAAATGAAGCTTAGTGCTTTAATAACAAAGCTTTTAGAAATACTGAGTAAGCAAGCTATATACAAAGAAAGTTATATCACTCTCAGAAAGCTGTGTTAATCTTAAAAGTGAATGGAACTTAGAACGTCCTGTTCAATTTACAAAAATATCTATATGATGGATTTATGAAAGTCAGGAAGTTGACATAAACAGGATGTACCGTGTAGTCCCATGTTCTTACTGTTAAGCAAACTCTGAGATGTTTGATTTTTGGCTTTGTTTGGAACTACGATGTGGAAAAAAAACCCCAAACCCAAATCTTGGAATTTGTGACTAAGTTGATTGCTCTGAAATGTTTGCTTTGACTTGGTTGAAAAATATCAGTTTAATGATAGTAAAATCTTTCACCTTGGCTCATAAGTCAGTAAAAGAAGAAGTCCTGACATTGCACAAAAATGATCTCCATTTGCAAATTGAACTGATATATTTTCTAGAACCCCCCCAAAAGCATACACTTTTATTTCCCTGAAAATAGCTTTTAATGTAACCACTTCCCTTCTCTGTATACAGGATGGAATTGCAGCTTTATGCTAATGAAATTGAATAGGGGCAGAGCAGTCATAATTAATATAGTTTTTGTGCCAGATGGAAAGAGCTACAAACAAATATGTGTAACTAGCATTAAATTTCATGGTTAAGCACATTTAAACTCACTCATTTTTAATTTATCAATTTTAGTTTGACAATGTCCCATTAGTGGAATTTTATGCTTGTAATATTAGAGTCCCTTCTGCTTTGGCAGAAAAGTATAAAAATACACTCAGATCTGCTACATCCTTCAATGATTCAATCATTATAAAATGTTCTAAAAAAAAAAATCTAATTTATTCTCTGCTTTAGAAGTTACCTTTGGGTGCTCTAGTAGGAGGAGATTTTTCAGTGATGTAGTCTTCAGGGCAGGTTAAATTATTTTTTCTGAGAAGTTCATTATCTACAATCCACCTAAAATAGGATGCCACTGCAACAGTAAAACAAAGAAACAAATAATGCAAAAGCTTAGTACACTAATATGCTATCTTGATTAATACACTATCTTGATTCATTCAAAGTAATGTTGTCTTTATAATGCATCACCATCAGGTAGCATTTTTAGATAGAGAAACTATTTGGTATTTTAATCCCAAGACTTGGACATGTACCCACAATTCTAAATTAACTTCAAACCCAGTTATGCAACCATTGGAGAAACACCTAATCTCTGTTTGTTGCTACTACATATCAAGGTATATATGCCGTAATAAAGTTAGATAGTAAGCCATTAATTGCAAATTTAAAACCTTGAAAATGATCTGGTTGTTTAGTTTCTTGCAGTGTTAAACAGGTGTTACTTTACTTGAATCCCTGCACAAAATCCTTTGATGTTGTTCTATGGATGTAATGCCAAACCAAATACTGACACTAGTGTCAGCCCTACTAGTGATTAGGCAAATGTGGCGCTAGTCTCCAGGTATCATAAGCATGTAGCAGGGAGAGACAGTATTTCCAGAATCCTCACCTGGTGGCAGTCCCATTTTGTGGAAATCTTCCCCTACATCCGCCTTCAGCACATTTAGGACCCTTTCTTCTTCTGCTTTTGCTCGTGCCTGGGACTGAATGATGTTCTCTTCTGCTCTGTCAGCTTCTCTCAGGCGGCACTTATAGTCATCAAGAAGCTGTCAGGGGCATGGGTTAATGTAGACAAATGAGTGTAATTTGAGCTGTTAACATCTCCTTACAGATAAAGGTTTTCTATTTGCCTTTGAGGGGTAAATACAGGTAGCTTGGTAAAACATAATTGCTTTACAAGCATAAAGTGGCCTGCTAAATCCATCATTTCTATCATTTAACTTGTGCTGGGTAAGAAGCACTACCCAAGAAAAGTGTGTGAAAGATGAGGAGACCCTCTCAGGAGAAGGGAAATGTCTTTTACCTTCTGTGGAACAGCAGCTCAGAACATATGTCTATCAATATATTCATAAAGGACTCAAAAGAAGTACAAAACTTCAGACTTTTCAGCTCTGATAACCTTTGAGGGAGTATGAATGGAAAAAACACCGGTTGCATTTTATCTTATAAAGTAGCAGTGAATCATAGAATAGTTAGGGTTGGAAAGGACCTTAAGATCAAGTTCCAACTCCCCTGCTATGGGCAGGGACACCTCGCTCTAAACCATCTCACTCAAGGCCTCGTCCAACCTGGCCTTGAACACTGCCAGGGATGGAACATTCACAACCTCCCTGGGCAACCTATTCCAGTGCCTCACCACCCTAACAGGAAAGAACTTCTTCCTTATATCCAATCTAAATTTCCCCTGTTTAAGTTTTAACCCATTACCCCTTGTCCTATCACTACAGTCCCTAATGAAGAGTCCCTCCCCAGCATCCCTATAGGCCCCCTTCAGACACTGGAAGGCTGCTATGAGGTCTCCACGCAGCCTTCTCTTCTCCAGGCTGAACAGCCCCAACTTTCTCAGCCTATCTTCATATGGGAGGTGCTCCAGTCCCCTGATCATCCTCGTGGCCCTCCTCTGGACTTGTTCCAACAGTTCCATGTCCTTTTTATGTTGAGGACACCAGAACTGCACACAATACTCCAAGTGAGGTCTCACAAGAGCAGAGTAAAGGGGCAGGATCACCTCCTTCGACCTGCTGGTCACGCTCCTTTTGATGGCTTTCTGGGCTGCAAGCGCACACTGCCGGCTCATGTTCATTTTCTCATCGACCAGCACCCCCAAGTCCTTCTCCGCAGGGCTGCTCTGAATCTATTCTCTGCCCAACCTGTAGCTGTGCCTGGGATTGCTCCGACCCAGGTGTAGGACCTTGCACTTGGCATGGTTAAACTTCATGAGGTTGGCATCAGCCCACCTCACAAGCGTGTCAAGGTCCCTCTGGATGGCATTCCTTCCCTCCAGCGTATCAACCGAACCACACAGCTTGGTGTCATCGGCAAACTTGCTGAGGGCGCACTCAATCCCACTGTCCATGTCAGCGACGAAGATGTTAAACAAGACCGGTCCCAACACCAATCCCTGAGGGACACCACTCGTTACTGGTCTCCAGCCGGACATTGAGCCATTGACCACAAATCTTTGTGTGCGGCCATCCAGCCAGTTCTTTATCCATCGAGTGGTCCATTCACCAAATTGGTGTCTCTCCAATTTAGAGACAAGGATGTTCTGTGGGACAGTGTCAAACACTTTACACATGTCCAGGTAGATGACATCAACTGCTCTGCTGCTGTCCATCAGTTTTGTAGCCCCATCATAGATGGCCACCAAATTGGTCAGGCAGGATTTCCCCTTAGTGAAGCCATGCTGGCTGTCCCCAAGCACCTTGTTGATTTTCATGTGCCTTAGCATGCCTTCCAGGAGAACCTGCTCCAAGATTTTGCCAGGCACAGAGGTGAGACTGACTGGTCTGTAATTGCCCTGCTCATCCATTTTCCCCTTCTTGAAAATGGGGGTTATATTTCCCTTTTTCCAGTCATCGGGAGCTTCACCTGACTGCCATGATTTTTCAAATATGATGGCCAGTGGCTTAGCAACTTCATTTGCCAGCTCCTTCAGGACCCACAGATGGATTTCATCAGGACCCATGGACTTGTGCACGTTCAGATTTTTAAGGTCTTGAACCAGTTCCTCTCCTACAGTGGGCCCAAGGTCTTCATTCTCACAGTCCCTGCGTCTGCCTTCCAAGAGTTGGGTGGTGCGGTCAGAGCCTTTGCCAGTGAAGACCAAGGCAAAGAAGTCATTCAGAACCTCAGCCTTCTCCAAATCCTGTGTAGCTAGTTCACCCAAGAGCTTCCAGGGGGGCCCTAGGTTCTCCCTAGTCTGTTTTTTATTTGCTATGTACCTGTAGAATCCCTTCCTGTTATCCTTAATATCCTTAATATCCCTAACCAAAAAAGCTAAACAGATCTTCAAAAAAAAAGCTAAAAAGATCTCTAAGCCCTGACTTATTTTTTACTTGTACCTTCTGTAGCTCCTCAGTAAAGCTCTCATGATAAACACTGTTTCCTCCTTGGGACTTGATCCAGTTTGTCTCCAGGTCTTCCCCAAAAACATCTCCAGTGTACAGGTCCTCAAAGATGCTAGCCAGCAACGGGGAGATGTCCTGAGAAAAGAAAATGAAGATGTTCATGCTGATGGTCAAAGACAGGATCAAATGAGATCCCTGAGCATGTGAAAATGGCTGGAATTAGTAAATGGAGAAGGAAAAGTGGGGGAAAATGGTTGGGAAAGGTACCCAGGAAGTGCCCTGAAAGGGAACACAGTGCATGTTTGCACGTGAACACTGATATGTGAAAGCATTTATGTGTGTGCATGTGTGTGTACACAAGGTCATACATGCATACAGGTGGTGTGCCTGTGCTGGGTGGCTCTGCATGTAGGTGGTGGTGGTGGTCACAGTTCTCTGTATGCCCAGCTGTGTATGTGTGCAATGGTATATGCAGGGATGCATCCATATGGGGCTATGTGAGTGGTGTGTATGCGAGATACATCCCCCGTACAGGGTACTACATGTGTGTGTACCATTCCTTGTGTACAGCATGTGTTTGTGTGCCTCAGGGTGCATGCAGTGGTGTGCAGTGTGCCTGTGTGCAGGGGTGTGCGTGTGTGTGAGGCTATGTGGGGATTGTCTGTATGTGCGCGGGGCTGTGTCGCTCTGCAGGGGTATGCATGCATGTGAGGCTCTTTGCAGGGGAGTGCGTGTGGCTGTTCGGGAGGGTGTGTTTGTGGGGTGTGTGTGTGTATGTGTCAGCGTGTGCGCACATTCCATACGTGTGAGGCTGGCTGCGGTGGGTGAGTGCCGTGCGGCGCTGCCCGCTGCCTTACCTGCGTGCAGGGCTGGAGGCTCCGCTGCGCCATGGCAAGCCCGGCGCTGGAGCGGCCCTGGCTTCCCTCAGCGCCGCCGTTGCTGAGTGACCGTGAGGGCCGCGGGGCGGGGGAGCCGAGCCGGGGGCTGAGAGGAGGCACCAGGGGCTGAGCTCCGTCCGAGGGATCGGGGGGAAGCCCCACTACCCTTGCCGGGCGACCTCACCCCCCACACCCATGGCCGCCCTTCGCCTCCATACTAGCGCTCTTGGAGGGCTGAGGGCGACTCCCCGCGTTTATCTGAGGGTCGTACCCCACGTCTGTCCGCTCAAAATAGCTACTTTGTGTGCTCTTTTAAAGCAGCGGAGCTGTACGGATTAATAAGAAACGAAACAAAATGTTGACCTGAAGCCTTTGTGGGCCGTTGGGCTTTCCGGGCTGCCCGGCTTGCCCCTCCGATGGTGTCGGGCTTTGCTGCAGGCCGTGAGGTGGGCAGCTGAGGGGAGAAGACAAACCCTCTCCTTCTTTCCCACCTGCCGCAGGCTGCCCGTCGAGGCAGGGCTCATCCCTGCTGCCGCAGCCGGGCTGCGGGGGCTGGAAGTTGGGGTAGTTCATCATCAGCCCGAGAAGCCATCCATCTTCTCTCAGCCTGCAGGAGCGCCCTGGCTGTGTACGCCCGTTGCTAACAACAGCAGCCTGCTCCTGCTGCAGCGGGAGGTGCTCTCCTTAGAAACCACTCTGGAGCAGCACTTCCTGCTTATCCGGCCTCTTTTCCCCCCACTTTTACTGTGGGCCCCGGGGCTTCTCCCTTGCTATAAGGGTCATCAGGCCCCACTGGGGTTTGCAGGGGTTGGAAGTGGGCAATATCGCTGGCCTCTGATGGTACTTCATGGAAAATAACCATCACAAAAGCAATTACAGTTCACCAGCCGGTGTTGTTCCATGAGAAATAAGCAAAAAGGCTGGGGGGTGGTTGAAAAACTGGCTGTTGTAGGCGAGCCTACAGAATGGGCTTTTGACTACATTTTATAGGGCCTTTTGACTACAACATGTTGTTCCTTTAGTTCGTCTGCTCACCAAATTCTGAGTCTGGAATAAGACACTAAATTAGACTTAGAGGCACTGCTGTGTTTTCAGTTTCCCTGTGAAAAAGGGAAAATTTCCCAAGGGAAGGCTCGACGAATCTGCAATATCCTGATCTAAAGGTTAAGGCAAGTCAGAGAAATCACTGACATCTGGCAAGGGTGGAACCAGGTCCCTGGGTTTTCCAACAGAAAAGGTTCACAGCTTTGTTTCTGTGCAGGCACATAAGTGTGTCCTTGCCTTTAAAAGTGGGTTGGCGCATCCAAATTTGGACAATTTTCCATATCAGAATTCCAACTTTTCTTATGATGTACTATTACAATCGAGTATAACATCTGTTCACTAACTTGAATGTTAATGAAATCCAGCATTTTTTTAAGAATTCTTTCCCAGCCTTTAAGAAAGCCTTAGAGTAGTGGCAGTAAAGCATATGTTTTTGTTTAAAATAGTATATAGAGGTACATGAGAACTGGCTGTGGAAAAAACTGTCTGTACTTTCATCTTTACTGTCTTTCGGTACCTTGCCAAGCAGATCAGCTCACTTTAGAAGCTGGATTTTTCCTTTTTTCCCCAACTGCAGTCCAGAAATGCACTGTGAAATCTGGAAGTGAAGGTGAGATCCACCTGCCCAGTAGTCAAATGCAAGATCAGAAGAGAGGGCTTAAACACTGGCCAAGAGCTACCATATTCTTTCCCAAATGACAGTGTTTTTTTGTTAGATCTCCATTTTTACCCCATCATCATTTACTCATATAAACTTAAAAAACTCAATGCCACTGTTCCCGTTGTAAAGCTCTTATATATCACATATAAGACACATATTTTCATATCTCTCTATAACTGTGATGAACAGAAGGACAATTTTCTTATATATCTCATCCTTATTACTGTTCTAAGACATTTACCTTCCAAAGGCTCATGCATGTAAGAAAAAAAAAACAACCAAAAACCCCAACCCAAAGCATCCCAAATGGAAACTTTAGCCTACATTTATAGATATAAATGTAGACACTTTCTGTAACTGTCATGTATGACTTCTGCCTGACATTTTACCTTGTATTTCCTTTCTCTGCCACAGAAGGTTGGATTTTATGCTAACATTTTGATTTAGATTGGGTGTGTGGATCTGAAGAGACTCCTGAGGGCTCCACTTTGTATGCTTTTGTGCAGTGTGGAGCACAATAGCATTTCTCTTGGAAGAAACTGATCTGAAATCCAGCTCTCCAGGAGCTCACCTCATATGCTCCGTCACCTAATGGGCTCTCAATCTACAGTATCAGGCAAAAACTAGTCTGAAATAAAACATCCCTAAATGCCTACAGAGTGGACATTTTTCCTGAGCACCAACATTTTTCCACTGCAGTTCTGCTCCTAATGCACCAGGCCACCCGCTTTAATAGACATAACCTAAGTCACAAACCTTAGAGGGATCATAAATTCTGCTAAAGTCTGGATTATTCCACTCTTAAAAGTAGTCTCTGTGTCTTGTCAGGATCATACTGTTTTTCTATTTATTTTGTTTACACTCCCCAGGTGATCCTCACCTGGGTTAGGGTTTACAAGCATTCCTTGTTATCCCACAGCACTCTTCAAAGTCCAGCTGTTGTCCAAAACCATACTTGCTTCTGGTAGTAGCATGTTCAGAAAAGGTCCTTCCAATTGTAACCTTACAAAACCACATGGCAGTCAGGTAAGTGGCTTGTTCAGGCATCCAGGTACCAAATGACACTATAGCTGAGGCAAGCCCAGCTCCTTTCTGCTTGTTAGCTTTCTAAGACCAACAGTAATAGAACATATTTATATATGAAATGGCCAGATGTGATTTGAATGCAATCAGGGAGCTCAAGTGTGGATTAAGAGGTGATATATACATAACTACCTTGTAGAGTGAACTGTATCTTACACTTGCTACAAAACTAGCAAGCTCCATAGCAGTCTTATTTACCTTGCTCATATTTTATCAAAAGTATAGATGGATGTTATGACCTGTAACTCAGCAAGTATATTTCTTTATATATTTCAAAGCAATGGACAGCTGTGCTTGACAAACTATAAATTATTGTCAACAGGTATTCCTTCAATGTATAAATATTGCACTAATAATAGCATGCTTTCACTAAATCAAAAAAACTTGCAGAAAGTTCATACATTTATCTTCACTGTGTCCCCCAAAATCTTCACTAATCTTAGCAGACTTCCTTACTCATTAAACCCTACTCACTTGATATTTGAAAGACTTCTGTGAAATTTTGAAATTTAGGACACTCTTAAAAATAAATATTAAAATTATATTGATGCAACAATATGGATTTATTTGAAAATGTGTATCTACGTATATTAAATATAAATACAATGCAAATAAAAGGATATGCAAAGTAGTCTTGGGATATATATTGATTTTAAAAAATAAACGACAAATCCATGGGGTTCAGAATGCATCAGTTGGTTTTTATTTTTTTTTTTAATCGTGTTTTTTGATTTCAGCTCTTTCTGGAAAGAGGGAAAGTCATGTAGAATTCAGGTGGCATTCTTTACAAAGTAAGGAAAATGATGCAGTACTGTCTTTTGCACTATTTCATAGATCTGCATCTGGGTAGCAGAAAATTATTTCTAATTATTTCTAATTCTTTGTTAATTTCTTGGGTTTGGGTTTATACGAAGCAATTCCCAGAAGTACGCTGATGGATGATTCACTTTGACGTTGCTGCCCTCCAGTGGTCTTACTGAGGTGTCCATGTATTCAGGAAAGCCTTTAAAAACGACCACTGTGTTAAATGTTTGTCCTGATCAGGCATTTTAGCAGGTAAAAATACTTCATCGCAATCTAGGAAATTCTCTTGCCAGTGTATTAGGTAAAGTGTGTTTATTAACTACACTGGAAAAGCTATATATTACCCTGTAATTATTGAAGATGCAGCCAAACAGGTATCACTGGAAAGTGGGTCTCCTTTGCATGTTAGCATGTATATCTTGAAGAAGAACTAAAACCAGCATCAACAATCTAACCTTAAAACCCAAGTAAAATTTGCAGACATGGAAAATGGAGAAATAACCTCTCACTTTCAGGTGAAAAATGCCCAACAGCTCAGTTTCTGGAAGCTGGCTTTTCACATTGCACTGCTTCCTTGTCCTGCCAAAGGTTTTTTCTTCAGATGTCCTAGTTAGTTTAAAAACTATATGTTTCTTACAGATCTTGCCTTGATGGCTGTACTTAGGTCATCTCCAGTTCTCCTGCCAACAATCTGAAATAACCTGCAACTGGCAGTTCCACCTGGATATTCTTCATTATTTTCTCTCTTAACATCTTGCATGGTGTTATTTTGTGGCTGTCTCCTGACATGAGTCAAACCTTTCACTTGCTTCCAGTGTACACTTCCTGACTTGAAGCTTTTCTTTGTTTCCCAGACCTCTCTCCTGTATCTACAAGTCTGCCCTTCACTAAAACATGTCAGTGGGTATTTGCCGTACTTCTGCTGAAATACTTACGCTGTAATTTCACTCAAGCCACATGGGATTTTACAAACCAGACACACCCAATATGTAGGAGAAGCATGTGGAAAATGCATACACAAAGGAGCCAGTCATTCCTTTCCGACAGTGTCTGGGCAGATACAACACTCTCTAATTAAGCTGTAAACAGGCTACGCCTCCACGAAGAGATCCAGCTGGAGGGTCCAGTGCTGCTGTGACACTGGGACTCAAGCAGAGCAGAACAAGGGGATCATAATTCCTGCCTGCAGTCTTGCATCCAGCTCGGGCCCCCAGCATAAGAAGGACATGGACCTGTTGGAGGGAGTCCAGAGGAGGCCATAAAGATAATTGGGTGGCTGGAGCACCTCTGCCATAGAGACAGGCTGTGAGAGATGGGATTGTTCAGTCTGGAGAAGAGAAAGGTCTGGGGAGACCTTAGAGCAGCTTCCAGTGCCTAAAGGTGCCAACAAGAAAGCTGGAGAGGGACTTTTTACAAGGGCATGCAGTGATAGGACAAGGGGGA